GTGTGGGGCTTGTTGTCGAGGAGAGTGTACGCCCATGGGAAGCAGTTTGACACCATACAGGAGCTGAAAGCAGCAATAGTAGATGCTTGGGCGAGTATTCCAGACACAGATCTCAATAAGTTATTGGTTGGAATGCCCCATCGCATATTTAGTGTCATCCAGAATCAAGGAGGGTGCACTAAGTACTGAAGTCGAGGCTGTAAAAATACAAATTGTGATGTTTGTAATGAATTGTGATTATGGATTGGAAAATTCATTGTACATTGTGAATTTAAAAAAATTTTTATATATAAATTATAAATTGTAAATCATGAATTGTAAAAATTGAATTGTAAATAATGAATTTTAAATTATGAATTTTAAATTATGAACAAGATTATGAATAATAAAATACACACATTTTTATACTGGATTATACTGAGATTATACATTTCCGACATGAAATTCAAAAGCTTGAACATAGCAAAATTATTAAATATGGCATAACTCGAGAACAAATTGTCCGATTGAGATGATCTTAGTCTCTTTGGAAAGCTAATGACGAATCCTAAAACTTTCCTGAAGAACGCAAAAAGGATAAAAAATTGGGAGGGGGAGTAGAGAGAAAAATAATGTTTAAGATCATTTTTTTTCAATTTCTTTTTTTATTTATTTTTTTATTTTTTTATATTTTGATAGCTTGTGTTGAGACCTTTCCAAAAAGCCGCCACTTATTAAAATCAGAGCCATAGAATCGGAGTTATAGCGGTTTACATTTGGAGTGGAAATTAATTGGCAATAAAAGTCGATTTGAAGAATAAAAATTCTAAAGCATTGAAATCCTGCTAAGGGCGCTCCCTCCGAGGCACTTCTCGTCCCCGGATCTGGGGTCCATGGGTTTCCTAGAAGTGTCCTAAGAACTTTTCGCCCCATTTCATTGGGGGTGGCTCGGGGGTTGGGGTGGTTTGGGCCCGAAGAAGCAGAAAAAGACCCTAGAAGAAGTGCTTAAGGCCAGGATTCAGAAAGGGTATCGGCGCCAGAAACCCCAATTATGCTCAAGAGGCTTCAATCAAGCCCTATGAAGGAGTTTGTGGCCATTGGGCCCCCCGCCCCATTGCGGAGGAGCCATATTGGGCAATTACGTAGTACTAGGCAAAGACCTTTAACAGTGTGGTCCACGGAGGACCGAGGCGGGGTGTGGCGACGGTAAATGGTTTCTGGGCTCAAATTGAAGGATCCTTATGATTTTCAGAATTTTCCGATTTTTTTTCGCTGAGATATAGTGAAATTTCCCAAGTGGACCTATAATTAGTGCCAGCCCAGAAAGTGATAAAGTTCCCTAGAATCCCTAGGATCCGGCGGAGGGGCCTCATATTGGGGGTTTTGTTTTGGCTATGGATAGGCAATCAAACGCCATATTTGATATTTTTTGATTTTGCCCCAGACTACCTACACCCCGGATGCCTGCAGTGGACCTATAATTAGTGCCCACGCTGTATGTGTCATGCTTGGGAATTAATACAAGTCTTGTGAGTCATTAAAGTGAATCATGGCGGTGAGACTCTATTTTTTTTATTTTATTGATCTTGAGGCACGACGTGAGAATGTTGTGTCGGTAAAATTTCTCTTTTTCCGAGAATTTCTCCTGCATAATTGAATTTTCTCAAGATGTTTTGTGACTTTAAATTGAGGCTGTAAATATCCGTAATGGGACAGTTTAGTGTTTTGTAATAATTCTTGAGAAATGCACTTTTTCTAGGTGTGACACATGAAGTTAAATGACACATAAGACCAGAGTTTAAAAGCCACTTGGGCAGTGACACTATAATCGTATCCTTTTTTTTCCTTGTGCAATAAAAACAGGGATTAATAGCAGTGATAGTATTTTGCGAGTGTTTTGGATTTAGTATGCCAGATTTAAGTGTTTTTGCAATCGATCTATATCTCTTGGGTTTCAACCTAATTGTACATCATTCAGTAAAGGGGGTGAAAGGCTTTAAAGACACACTCATGGAGAGTCTTAAAGTGAAGTGAATGCAATTAAAGCTGCTCGTCAATCGGGCAAATGATATTTTGTGTCGTGCATGATGCCGAGATTGATGTGAGTCAGAGAGTTGAGTGACTGGGCGCCGGGTTGTGGGGCGCGCGCGTTCACATGATTGAGGTATTTTGGGGTGTGAGAAAAGGTGGTGGCATTCCTTGGATCGTCTTGTGTGCAACTGATATCCTCAGACGTGTGCTGTTGCGGTGTCACTGTGTGAATGTCTCTTTGGCCCTGTGGGTGGCTCTTGTGAGTGATGTCATAAAGCACACACTATTTGCCATGGGGTTGACTTTGCGGCCCCACGAGAGACAGAGAGAGAGGTAGAGAGGAAGAGGGAAGGAGTGAGAGAGTGAAAGCGAGGGGATTTTCAGGGCAAAGTGTGTATATTTTGTGTATGGAAGCACAACATGATTGAGGTGAGGTGGAGGGAAGAAGTGGGTGGCTTTTAACAGAGAGCGGTGTAAGGAATTAAAGCACGTGGCTTTGGAAAACAAACCCTGGCAGAGTCAAGGAGAAGAAGAAGAGTAATTTTCAATTGTTGTGTGTCTTCTAGAAGTGTCTGGTGTGTTTGAATGTGCGGCAGTTGGTGTATTTTGTCTGGGAATGAGAGTGAAATTAATACAGAGAGAAAATGTGTGTTGTGGAGAATGATGTGAGCAAGATATTCCATCGCTGTGCGCGCTATAATACAAAAAGCATCATGTGAACTATATATTATATAAAATATAAACATTAATGACACATATGTTTTCCACCGGTACAACCTCCTCTTCATCCTCCAAACACAATTCCACTATGCTCTCTTCTGGCTGAATTGCCATGATTTTGAATGAGAAAACATCAACAACACAATATCATAATTGAATAACACACGCGCGCGCCTTTTCTCCATATCAATTCCATGCCATGCCAAGAGAGAGAGTGTTTTGTGCTATATATCGTATTCTTTTTCACCTATACTCACCACTGTGTGTGTCTCCCCGGCTATTCTTGCTCTGGGTGCTTTCTGATGTTCCTTTTGGGCGGCCCAGGCATGGAGAAGAGAGCACAAATGCTGGAAGAGACGAGTGCCACAGAGATGATTAAGCCGCGCGACCAAAGAGATGCCAAGAGGAGAAGAAGAAGAAAAGACTCACTTTCCGATGGGAGAGTGAGTGAGTGAGAGACAAAACAACAATAATCATAAAAACCACACGAAAAAAGAAGGGCTATAAAATACCTCCAAATATTGGATTACAATTAGTGCCTCAGTTAATTTTTTTTCTGCCCCTCCTCACAAAGTCTCTTTTGTATGTCACGTTTTTGTCAATGAGCACTTTTTCCCACGCCACTTTTAAAACACTCTGACAACACTTTGTTGCACTTGAAATTTGGACAGGGGAATAAAAAAAGTCAACAATTTACCATTTATGGTGACAATTTTTCGCTGGACGATTGAAAATGTGTAAGAGAGAGAGAGAGAAATGGTGTTATATATTTTGAAATGCACAAAATTGATTGGTGATTGCAATTAACGTACTTTTGATGTATTTAAATTGGGGTTGGGAGAAAAAAGAGAGGGAATTTTTGCATCTGATAAAGTGTGTGGAATTTGAATAGAGTTTTGTCTGCATTCCCTGCTGACATTTTATTGTTTAATAGGGTTTTTATAGTTTGTGCACAAAGTATTTGGCGTGTGGATTTTTTTTTTCACTGCTCACTTCGCCGGCAAGTGAGGAGAGGGATCAATGTGCTGTGTATGATGTCTCAATTTGTCGCCACAGTGCAGGAGAGCCGGCGAGGAAATCCCTGGCATTGGGCGGGAGAGCGAAGTGTGTCTTTTGTGGCGGTATGAGTGAATTATTGTTGATTTTATTGACAGTGCTGAAGGGTCTTCCTTCTCAATGGGTCCCATTCAAGAGTCAAGTTCAATGCTGTGCATTTCAATTGGCGTGAGTGTGAGAAATGCTATTTATGCGTCATATTGCTGTACAATAAATAATAAGTGGGTGAGAGTGAGTGAATGGCGGTCGTTTTTTTTTCTCTCCTGTTGTGCTGCACGGAGTGCCGATGGTCGAGCAGGAGAGTGAGGAGGACACAAAGGAGAAGAAGGGATTCATAAGTCACACCTGATAAGGGGATGAAGAGTGGGTGGGTTATTCAACTGTGGGAAAAAGCGACCCTTTCACAGCCACGTCTATTGCGAGTCAGTGGAGTTTTCCAATGATTTTCGCTTTTCCAATGGAATTCTTGGGATATTTTCAAAGAATACCAGTTGGCAAACTGCTGGTATTTATGGTGGGTTGAATTAAGGCGAGAGAAAACAAAGAGGAGAACGAAAGACAAACCATAAAATTAATTAATGGAAGAAACCCCGCGAATATTTTTGTGGAGTTTTCTTCTCCTTTGTGTGCGCCTTCGACCAAAAGAAAAGAAGGAGAGAAAAGAGAGAGATTCTCTTGGTCGATTGCAAGTCGCACGAGAAGACGCTCAGAATGCGATGGGTTCTTTTGGGGTTAACATATGAGGTTGTTGGGTGTGAGAGAGAAGAGAATGTGAATAACCCCGTTGCATTGAGAGGCTTAAAGAAGGCGCGCAGCAGAGGTCTGAGTGAGAAAAATGAGGAGAGACTTTAGGAGAAGAAAAAAAATATATTTGTGTACATGTGAAAAAGATGGTCGAGGAGGGTTGGGAAAAAAGAGGTGAAATAGACAGAGAGAGAGAGAAGCAGAGGGAGAGAGGGACAGAGAGACGTGGAAAAAAAATATGGTTGAGAGTGAAAAATAAAGCACAAGAAAGGATGAAGAGAATCGTGAAGATTGTGGAGAGAAAAATGAAGAAACAACGACCGGTTTTTACCTTTCTTTTCATAGCCGTGTGGTGGTGTTGTAGAAGAGGAAGAAAAAAAAAGAGCATCGCGAGTGGAATTTCGAATTTAACACTAAAACTACCTGATATGTGATGAAATGACAATCTCTCTTATCTCTTGTTGTTGCAGAATCAGCACATTCAGACGCAGAATAATCAGCAGGCTCATCAAAACCAAAACAATCAACAAATACAAATCCATACGCAAAACGCAAAGATGCCGCGAGGTGGGAAAGTTGACGCCAAGCCACGAGGACGCATGACGGCGTATGCCTTCTTTGTACAAACATGCCGCGAGGAGCACAAGAAGAAGCACCCCGAGGAGACTGTCATCTTTGCTGAATTCTCACGGAAGTGCGCCGAGAGGTGGAAGGTCAGTGATTTCTTGCAATTGCACCGCCCGCCCTTTTTCCATTGTTGCGCACACAATTTGCATTGGGGTCCGCGATGGGACGGTCTGTGTGGCGCATTAATTTATTCTTTAATTCCTCTCCTGGCTTCATTCCATCTTGATGGTGGTATGCGGCGTTGCTGGGGTGGTTCGTTCGGGTTCTTCTTTCACCACAACAACACTTTAAAGGTGAACGCTTTGTTGCGAAAGTTTTGTGAGAACTCTTCGCGGAAGAATGAATATTTTTTAATCAATAATATTCTCTGACGCCGTGGATAAAGGCGTCTTTGCAAGATGTCTAATTAAAGTGTGTGTAAAGCACAAAGTGTTATTGATGAGCCATGCCAAAAATGTCCTTCATTTTACTCTACACTTTCAACACTTGCAATTGACAGAATTGTTAATGAATTGGACGTGAAAGAGAGTGTGTGTGTGTGTTTGGGAAAAGGGCCTCTTTTTCATCCTTGCCAAAGAAGAAAAAAGACCAACGATTGTAATGATTGTGGAAAGAGAAAGAGAGAGAGAGAAATGCTGAGAATTCTCATATTTCTTCCTAAGCAATTTGTCACAGGGATTCTGTGGAATTTCAGCAATTTCCCTTCTATTTTTGGCCCATGAAAATTGTATGCATTATAACATATATTCTCTTTGCCTTGCAAGGGAGGTGAATTTTAAATGGCATATCTTGAGATGTGTCATTTAAATTCAAATTTGGACAAATGAATAAAGAGGGAGAGAGAGAGAGAAAAAGCTCCTCTAAATTGCGATTTAATTTATCAACTGGGATTCAAAGTAGAATTGTGCCATGTGCTCTCATTTGCTTCTGCCTTTTTCTCTCTCTTTTTTGTGTTAATTAAAAAGTGCACAGATGAGGATTTTCTTTTCGCACAAAATATGTGCGATAAAGTGCAATTATTCGACGAGAGGCACTTTTTTTTGTTCTGGTGTAGAAAATTTCTCTCTATGTCTCAGTTTTCCAACAATTTTCCGCCCTCTGAACACTATCGATCGATATTTTCACATTCTTTTTCCATTTTCCTCTCGTGTTTTTTTTCTTGCCTTTTTCTCCACCATCTCGAGTGCAATTTTTGCACGGAATTGAAAGAAGGAAACAATGGTTTAGGGATATTTTTTCCATTATCCTTGACCCATAAGGAATGTCCTTCTTTGACTCTGATTTCTTTGCCATTCTTATTGAGATATTCACTGAGAGAAGTTTGTTTCATTTTTCCTCTGAATGAAAATTAAAGAAACTCGTGGGAGTTTTTTTTTCACTTTCACAATCAAATCAACTGAGTGGAATTAAACAATTAAAAAAAAAGTCTGTTTGAATTAATTAAGTTCAATTTTGTTTATTGATTTTTAAACAGAGAAGAACTTCTCTCAATTACACAAGTTTTGTGATTAATGGTCCCAAAATATCCGTAGGGATTGGAAATTTTGAAGAAAAATAAAGATATTCCTTACCAGTGAATTGCAAATTAACAAGGCGGACGACATTTTGCCTCAAGCAAAGCGTTTAAAAAGGAATTTGGAGTCAATTACGTTGCCGAGAAGCTTTAAGTTCATTAAAACATTGGAATATTTAGTAAATTTCAGAGGTTAATATTTCGTTAGCGAGGAATTTTTTTTCTGTTCATTTCCCCAAATAGCTCTCAAACTCTCACCTTCTCGAGTCCTTTTCGCGAGGACTGTCGAGGGGATTGGCGTGAGATGTTATAATGGGTTGGCAAATCTGTGTGCGCCAAGTGTGTTTGCTTTTAATTACTTCATTTTAACTCTAAAATATATTTGTGGATTGGATTGAGAGGCCCAACGCGGGTGTGGATCGATGGCGCAAGGGAGGAGAGAGACAGAGAGGGTTGGAAAGTGCACATATAAATACTCCCCTAGTCAAATACACAGGGTGGAAATGCGGACCATTGTCACTGATCGCGCCCGCATGTGTGTGTGTGTTTGTGTGTGGGAAAAAGAAGTGAATGAAAATTTCTTGCAATTTTTCCTCTGCAGAATCTTCCTCCGACTCCGTCTTCAGCATTTTGCCTTTAATAATGTAATATTTGCACACTCGCGCGCGCGGGGGTGAATTTGAGCGCGCGAGGGATTTATGTGGGTGGGAAAAGTTGTGGGTGGCAGCGCTCGGGATGATGTGAGGGCTGGGGATTGGCTGGTAACTCTCCGGCAGGGCGCTTCTGCTGACGATACACAAAATGGTGTGAGTTTTTCAAAGATTTGCGATTGCGCCCTGATTTTCTCATTTCACGCGAAGCCTCTCTGGGTGGCCTCACAGCCACCCATTCCACGTTCGCGGGACGTGTGAAGGGTGTGGGAAATTGGGGAGGGAATTTCAAGTTTCATCCCGCTTTGCTGCTGAGTGTGTGTTTGTGTGTGTGGATGTCGAGAGGACAGAGAAGAGCAGAGAGAAGGGTGAGGATGGCGAATCCCACTGGACACAATTTGAAAAAAAAAAGTCGCGCTGTGTTTCTTTTTTTGTGCTCTAAAGGCACAGGCTGTGAGAGGTGAATGCAGAAATTGGTGTAATGTCGTCAATTTTGGTGTGATGTTCCCCTTTAAAGGGGTGCTGCGGGGGTGTTTTTGAGGGTGAAAATGAGAGAAAGAGAGAACGGGGTTTTCTTATTGTTTAGAAGGGAAATTAATGTGTGTGCCACCCCTTTAATGTTGAGAGGAAATCCCCCAATTTCTCCCTCTCGCACACAGAATTGTGTGCCCTCAAAATTTGCTGTGTGCAGGGGTTAAAACTTTTCCGGGATTTTATTGATGGATGAACACAAGTATACAATACAATCCACAAATTCACTAACACGCACACACGGGCAGAGAGAGAATTTCGCTACACGAAATTAAGGGTGGGCGAGCGGGTGGGTGGTGGGTTAGGTGTGGGGTGGGATGGGGGAGCGACTGAAAGACAGAGACGGCGAGAGAATGTGAGCAATTTTGGAAAAATAGGTGGTTTGGGGCGGTTTGGGGTGGCGAATGGGGCGATATTTTAGTCATCGTGACACTTCGCCAGCCACTCGGCGCCCGCTCGGCTCCAACTGAGAGCTTCCCCAAAACTTTCCAGCGAAAATACAGCGCAAAAGAGAGACGGCAATGTGGCAATAGCCGCGCGCTGGCGAAGTCCTGTGCGAGCGTGTGAGAGAGAGAGAGAAAGAGATGGACTCTAGTGAGTAGTTGCTGATTTTGCTCTCTCTCTTCTCTGCAACTTCCTTTCAAAAATCAATGGGAACACGGCCAGCCACGCGCGTCACTTGTGAAATATTACTAAAGTCCCTTCGCCCAAAAGAGGGTGAGATAGTCATTTGCTCTCCCCTTCTCGCTCGCGAATTAAAAAATTCTACCCCGCATCCAGCGTTTTGGGGGCGCGCGGGAGGGGGGTGGGAAATTCATCACCCACTCTCTCAATTGGGCACCCATAAATTGAAACTCCCCATGGATTCTCTCCCAGTGTGGCTTTTTGGATGGCAGCAATGTTATTTTTTCTAGTAGAGACTTGTAATTTTCACACTTGAGATGAGTGCCAATCGAGAAAGGGGTGGAAAAAGGATTAAGAGTTGCTCTTATAATTGTTAGGGATGTTGAGGAATTGACCATGGTTGAATTGATGGGAAAAGAGGGATTAATTTCGGATTTGTTTTGATGATTTTGAAGGGACAGAGAAAAAGAGAGATATTTTCCTAGAAACCCCGCCCATTCCGATGCCCCGCCCATTTGTATACGCTTGAGTTGCTGAAACACTGCTTTTCACAGACACATAATAAACTCATGAATTCACAGATAAAGCAATATTCAAAGTTTCAAAATGCAAACTAGAATGTTTTATCTTTATTTTGAGGGCGTGGTTCAATTGATATTTCAGTAATAAACTCTCTGTGTATGATAAATCACTTTTGGAACTTTGTGAAACAACTTCTTTGAAAACTCCCTTCATAAGTCCATAACCTTTTTACTGTTCTTTCATGCATTAATTCTTAACATAATATTGACTTTTATGATGAAATTGTAAAATTCTGTGATAGAATTTTTATGCACACTCATTCACTGGCAGATTGGCAAAGAAAAAAAGAATGATCGAAGTATAATCTGCAGCTGATTGGGCCAATTAAATGCAAATTCTCTGGCAACAAAGTCAAAGGACTTGCAATTTGGCGAGATGTGTGTTGGTTGGTTTGGGGTTGAGAAAAAGCACGAAATTTCCTCCTAATTGCCCAAAGTTGGAGTTCCACATTTCATTTCCGGGCGTGTGTGGGTGGCGAGCTTTTTGCTCGCTCGAGTTGAAAGGCGCGCTCGTCCTCCGCCTCCATCGGCCGGGCGCGCTCTCCAGTGTTTTCGGGTGGGAAAATGGCCCATGTCGTAAATTACAGCAGCAGGAGCTATGAGAGAATGTTGGGGAGAATTTCACGAATTTATTGATTTGTTGTCACACACGCCAAGGCACGTGTACGGCCAAGTTTATCATTCTGCCTGCCATTCTTTCTCGCCCAGAATGTTGGGCTAGCAGTGGAATGAGGGGGAAAAATTAGGGAATTTTGTAGTATTGAAAGTATAAAAAACACTTTGAATACTGATGCCAATGCGTTTCTTTTTTTGCCTTTGCAGACAATGCTGGACAAGGAGAAGAAGCGATTCCACGAGATGGCGGAGAAGGATAAGAAGCGCTACGATCTTGAGATGCAGAACTACGTTCCGCCCAAGGGCACGGTTGTGGGCCGTGGGAAGAAGAGGAAGCAAATTAAGGATCCCAACGCACCCAAGAGATCACTGTAAGTGTGACTTATTCTCTTGCCCTTTCTTCCTTCCTTCCCTCCCATTTTCAATTGGCAACCAGAAGAAGATTAAGTGGTGGAAATTTGATTGCGAAATAGAGAGAGAGAGAAAGAGAGCGAAAGAGTGTGATTTGGGAGCCTAATCTCGGCATCCAATCGGATTTCCCGTGGCTTAAGCTTGTTGTGCTCTCAATTGTATCAATTAATTCATGGGCAGGATTTTTCGACAAATTGCACGGAAAAATCTCTTTGCCTCGAGGCAGAAGAAGAGTCAATTTCATGCAATTTGTGGGGCTCTCAATGAGCCATGAATGGCAAGAAGGGTTCTTCAGATGCCTTTTCTTCTTTATGCCCTTCTTGGCTGCTGGGAAGTTTGTAGATTTATTTTGGTGCAGAGCAAGAAAATCAGTGAAGTTAGACGCTGTTGAGGATTTTTTGAAGTGAAATTGACAAGCTGGAAAATACAAATTGGCGATATTTCATGTGAAAATGAATGAAATGTATAAATTTTCCCATTCTGCTTTGCTTTAGAAGGTTTCTTAAGGATAATAACGATTAAAGATTGCTGATGGTTTATCACGTGTGCGTGTTTTTCTTCGTGCAGGTCGGCTTTCTTCTGGTTCTGCAATGACGAGCGCATGAAGGTGAAGGCTCTCAATCCCGAGTACGGCGTGGGAGACATCGCCAAAGAGCTGGGCCGCAAGTGGTCAGACGCCGATCCCGAGGTGAAGTCCAAGTACGAGGCTATGGCTGAGAAGGACAAGGCACGATACGAGCGGGTGAGTTGGAAAAGGATTTCTTCTTCCTGTCTGTTCTTCTCAATGGGTTCATTGACTGAATGTGTTTTGTGGTTGTTGCGTGCTTTTAGGAAATGACGGAGTACAAGAAGAAGAGCAAAGGCGGAATGCAGCCTGTTCAGCCTGTCCAGCCGGTGCATGAGGACGATGATGATGACGACGATGACGCCGATGACGATGAGAATGAGTAAATTTGTGGACGTTTGTGTCTCAAGGAGAGGATTCTGTGGGGCAATTGACGGAAGCGAGGAGTGAGAAGGAGTGAAGGAGTTGAATTGACGGTTAGAAGGATAGTTCTTAAGGATGAATTGAGTGGAGAATCTTTCGATTATGGAATTACACCGCAGTGAAGATTGAAGAAGAAGAGGAAGAAGTAGAGAAAAAAGATATAAATATACATTTTTTGTATATTTCCCATAAAGAGATGGAGTTTGACGAAAGGAGAAAGGAAGAACGAAAGGAAGTTCGAGGAAGGAAGGATGAAGAAAAACCTTACACAATTGACTTAGCGTAGTGGCAATTGATGAATAAGTGAGTGTGAAGAGAAATATACAAAGAAAACGTGTTTTTTCTATAAATATTAACAATGAAGAAGAAAAAAAAATGAATATATATATTGATTAAGGAAGAAAAGAAAAGGAGAAAAATTTCTAGGTATAAAAATGTGAAGATGTGAGTGGAGAAATATCTTACAAAGTATCTTTAAGTTGATGATAATGAATGGCGAGGAGAAAAGGAAGAAAGAGAAGGTCAAAAAATTAAGGAAAAAAAACCACACAAAAAGTAAAACACTTGAAGTAATGGTAAGTCCTGATTTTCTCTGTATTTTTTTTTCATTTGTGAATTATATATGTTTTTACTATATGTTTTTTTTTGTATTCTTAGGGCTTTTTTTAAGTGTAGAAGTAGATGAAAAAAAAAAGTTATTCTCTCAATATTTATGTTAAGGGCTGAAACTTTGAGGAGTTTTCATTATGAAAATTCATTTTAGAATTAATTATATTGCCTTATTTTTTTTTTTACTTTTTAAGTTAACTCTCATATTTTCTCTCGGATTTACTTACTGCGCATATATATTTTGTATTTTTTAGTTTCTACTGAATATATACATAAAAAAAAGAGAAGAAGAAGAAAAATAGGAATAGTCGATGAGTTTGAAAGCGAAGGAGAAGAGAAAACCTGCGCGCCTCCGGACGCTGGAGAAGGTGGCTTTTTCGGTGTTTCCGGGTGGCGCTCGCGAGGAAACCAACAAAAATATTACTCACTAGATAATAATTGATTATTAATAGTAAAAGAAGAAGGAGAAAGGAAGAAAAAAAGGAGAAGAAAGAAGGAGTCTTTTAATTGAAAAAAAAATATGCATAAAAAAATGGTATCTTAATGTATATAATAATTCTGAAGTAATCAATGTTAAGAGTGACAAAATGGATGGAGGGTTAGAATCTTAGGAGCGTGGGTGGAAGAGAGTTCACCCTTCAGGCATCTTTGTACATAGAATATAGGCGAAAATGATGAAGTGCGCGCGTGGAGAAAGAATTCTGTCTCTTGTTGCTCACTTCTTGCTCAAATTGCGTGGCGTGGTGTTTTGTGACAGGAGCACTTCGCCATGCTGAAGAAGGATGCGCCAAAGGATCGTTTTGACAGAGGCGAAGCGTGTGAGGATTGACGAATTGATAATCAAAAGAGCACAGAGAGAAGAAAGTGAGCGAGAACAATGCTTTTGGCCATGCTGGAGCAAGAGAAAAGGCATCAAGAGATAAGAAACTTTCGACTAGGAGTTCAATTGTGAAAAATTGAAGAAGGCGAAAGAGGAGGAAAAGGAGGAAATTCACTGTTGAAGTGGAGTGAAGTTTTAAATGCATAAAACTGAGCCATATTGTAAGGTCACGAAGAAGATGATGATAGGATTTTTTCGGGTGAAGAACGCGAAGACGAAGAAGTTGAGGAAAAACATAAGTGAAAAAAACCTGTAGTTTATTGTATTTGTGAAAACCACACACAAAACACACACACACACATGAAGAAGAGAAGATAATTATAATGGACAAGAAGAAGAAAAGTCTACAAGTAAAGAAAAAAAAAGAAGTAAATAAATAAGAATTACCGCTGACTGTAAATACAGAACAAGAATTGAATTAAAATAGTAAAGGCAGAAAATATAAAACTCAAGAGAAACGGAAAAAAGGGGATGAAAAGAGCGAAAAGAAAGTAAATTTTTTTCTTTGATTTTTTGATAAAATATCCTTTACAGTAAAAGAAAAAAAAGAACAATACTTAATGATCTATAATTTTTGTGTTTTCTAGTTTTTCACACACACACAATTGTCCTGAAAGTATGAAATTTTTGTGTTTTTCGGTGTAACAAAAACGAGAAAAAAAATGATGGAAAAAGGATAAAAAAGGTTTTAAGAAGAAAATAATAGCGTTGAAATAAAATGGAAACAAGAGTGCGAGAGCGCGAAAGTATGTTTGAGCTCTCATGAGAAGAACCAAAAGTACAACCGTTGCAAGTATTTTTGTGTTATTTAATTGTTATTGTTGTTTAAATTAACAAATCGCGCCTTTTACAGCCTTTTTTTGCAAATCTCAGAACACAATCGCACGTAATAGGAAAGAAAAGTGAAACAGCTCGAAAGAAGGAAAAGGAAAAGTGAAAGAAATTAATCTGTTTATTCTTCCCTGATTTTGTGTCGACAAAAGAAAACATGAATGAATAGGAAGAGAAAAGAAGTGAGAAAAAAGAAATACACATGAAAAGAACAGAAATAGCGAAGAGCAGATAATTTATAAGCATAATTATTTTACAAACAAAAAAAAAAACTAAAAATAATTCAATATTATATAGAATTTTTCTAATTAAACAAAAATATATTTAAAGAAAGCGAAGGGAAATTTCTCCGTGAAAATGCCAGAAAAACAGTGGAAAAGTATTGCATTGAGTGGAGAAAATCTTTGAATAACGCGATTAAATGTTTAGTGAGAACAGAGCGAAAATTCTCCAGCCTAAAAAAACAAAGTTAGGAAAAAAAAGACGCATGAAAATGAATGAAATCTTCCCATTTTTCTTTTGCTCTTCTTTCCCATTCAAAACCAACCCCCAAAATCACACAAACAAATCTCTTTTCACCTCCTCAAATCCAAATAATATAAACTTTCTTATTTTGCAAAATTCTCGCTCTGTTTTCCGTGGCGGAAAAATATCTACAACAAAATGAATGAATAATTAATATAAAGTGAAAAAAAACTTAGTAATGAGATGGAAAAGCAATGAGTTTTTCTTTTTTGTATATCTCTTAGGGATATTGATAACATGAGAAAAAAATCATAAATAAAAAACTCATTAAACTCGTGTGTGTTTTTATTTGTGCCAAAGGATTTCTTCTAAAGCCTCCCTTCGGTTTGCTTCACTGCTCTTCTTAATCTGCACACTCGCGAGGGTTAACCAGCCGAGACACACTTTTTCGCGCTGGAGAGAAGCTGAAGAAAATCGGTTTGTACGGAGATTAAAATGTTTTATATATTTTCCACAAAGAATACAAGCATGAAATCACAACTTCAAATACTAAAATATCCTTTCGCGCGCTGTCATATTGATGATGCTTAGAAAAGGACGCACACTCCAGAGTCTACTGAGTGTCTGAAATGATGTCCGCGTTGAACTGCACGCCATAGCAATCCATGCACGCCTCCAGGGCGGCGTTCTTGCGCGCCAGCTTCTTCGTGCGCCCCGTGCCCACGTAGTCCTTGCCGCACAGCGACACACTCACCGTGTGCACCACATGCGGCGGCTTCCCCTCGCTGCCCACGTCCGTGAACTGCGTGCCGGGATTCATGATGGACAGCAGCATTGTGGGATGCGTGGAGGCGGCGTTGTTGGGCAGCTCGTCGCGCGGCTGCGGCAGCTGCTTCACCGGCGTCATCTCCGCACCATTGTCCACCGCCATGGGCTGCACCACCTCCTGACCAGCCCTGAAGTCCGGCACAGGAAAGCCCTCGGCCTCCCACTCGCAGAACAACTTGTGCAGCGCAAACGACACCAGATTAAGCATCGGCACGTCGTCCGCGTCCTCAGGCTCTGTGCTCTCCTTCATCTCCGCCTCGCCCGCCTCGATGCTCTTCTCCTCCTTCACGCGGCGCGCCTTGGCCGCCATCCGGGCGATCACGAAGTCGCGCAGCGCCTTCTCCGCCGCATTGTTCTTCGCCAGCACTTTGGAGCGTCCCGTGCCGATGTATCGGATGTTGTTCACGTTCACCTCGGCGCGGAAGTCATTGTTCACGCCCTCAATCTGGAAGTCAAGCGCCGACGGGCCCTGCAGCTCGTGCAGCGCCACGATGGCATTCTTCGGCGTCAGCATCTTCCGCAGGCGCCGATTCTGCCGGATGCGGCGCTCCTTGTTGCTGACTATCGATCAGAGGATTAGCAAATCAGCCTGACAGCGTGTGTTTAGGGATACTCACTCTTCTTCTTGGCCAGGCCAATGATGGATCTCGCCCTGGCAGATCTCTCGCTGCTTTCCTCGACTTTCTCCGTCTGCTTTTCCACCGGCGTCATGATGGCGTCGTCCTGAGAAAAGTCCTCCTGCTTCATCTGAGGCATTTGCACAACTTCAGGCAGCACTGGTGTCGCCTGGACAGCTGGTGCCTGTGGAAGAGACTCGTCAGCAAGCTACGGATTGCGATTCATGTCAAGATTAGTCTTACTGGCGGTCTGAGCGTCTGTCGGTTGACGGGATTGACCTGGCCTTCCGTCTGCTGGGCCATGCCTCTGTTCAGATAGCCGCCCGAGAGGAAGGGCTTCGGCTGCCCGCTGAACTGTTGATTGTAGCCGCCGCCTCCGCCGCCGCTCTGTCTCCTCTGCTGTGCAAAAGACACGCAAAAACCACACAATTAGCACAATAGCCACATTCCCTCACTGCGCATTAGCATGGCATTTAGCTATCGCATCCTTAAGCCTATTTTACCAGCTGCTACACTCATTGTGGGGCCCCCAGAATGCCTGTCCGTCCACCGGATGCCGCAACGCGCGCAGTTCCACCCACACAAACTTATAGACTATGAACATTTTCCCATCATTCAAGTCCAGCCACGGATGCTGTTTACATAATCATACATTCTCCAATGCATCACACATTATTCCCGCTTTCCACCGGCCTGCCGGCCCCCCCGCGGGAGAGCCTCCCTGGCGAGGGAGAGCCTCCGGAAGAGGCTCCCTCATCAAAGATGGCCACCGCTCTTGGGCACTGAACGACTTGGCAATAATGCTGAGTGGAAATATAGGATTATTTAAGCACATCCGTGGGTCGGGCTTGCCTTCAAATGTGCATATCTATAAACTTAATAAAATGTCGCTAAAATAGAACAAATAATGTCGTTGAATAAGTGAGAGAATTGTGGAAAAAACACTATTTTTTCTCTTCAATGTTCTGAATATCCAAAGGTGAAATGTCACATGAGAAAAACTCGCATATTTACCTGTCCTTGGTGGTAATTGTTAAAATTCCTATTCATTCCAGTGCAATAATACTTTCAGGAGATTTTGCACAGCAAAAATCTGCTGATAAGTGAGTAAATACAGAGGACAACGAGTTTTTCTCGCGGCACAGAAAAATACTACACAATCAATATAGAGAACAGAAAATTGATGACTGCTGCGACAGCGCCACTGGGCGGTGGGTGATTGAAAACTGCCACTTGCATGTCAGTTGAATATATTTCTTGTTTTGATCATCGCGATTGTGAGTTTTCTCGTGCATTTTCCGGCTAAAACTTTATTATTTCGCACATGTGATGGATTCTACCGATATTTTCAAGAAGTTAACATGTGGCGCTTCGTTCAAAAAAAGCAATTTCACACTGCAAAAGCAGGTAAGAGTGGCAAATAGTCAATATTGTGATATAACCTTAAAAACTCATGCTTTTCTCCTCCAGAAAACCACCTCATGGAAAATCAAGGATGAAATTAAGTCCGAACCAGTCAATCTCTATGCGGATCACGAGAGAATGCAGGATTGGCTCATATCTACAAACACGGACGAGGAGGTGAAGTCAGAGCCCGAAGAGGAGCTCAACATTCTGGACAACATGAAGCAATCCGTGCCGCAGAAGAGGAAAAAGTCCCGCGAACTCTCGAAGAAGGTGAAGAACCAAATGGCCATCGAGGCGGTGAATTACCTGAGGAATAAGCACAAGATCAGCGTGAATGGATCGGGAATTCCTCCGCCCGTTGACACATTCGACGAGATGGCTGAAAAGTACAGCCTCAGGATGAATATCACCAACAACCTGACCATCTGTGGCTACACAGATCCCACGCCCATCCAGATGCAAGCCATGCCGGTGATGCTCTCCAAGAAGCTCTCTCTGTTGGCGTGCGCGCCCACGGGATCGGGGAAAACGGCGGCATTCCTCGTGCCGATCATCAGAGATCTGGAAGTGCCGAAGAAAGAGGGATTCCGGGCACTGATTGTCTGTCCGACGCGCGAATTGGCTCGTCAGATCCTCAGAGAGTGCTCCAGACTGTGCGAAGGCATCAACTTCAAGCTCCACTTGATAACAAAGACGCAAAAGCCCGAGGAGAACTACTCGCCGGAGAAGACGAAGAGATTCGACATTCTCATCAGCACGCCGAACAGGATTTGCTTCCTGCTGCAGGAGAATCTGCTGGATCTGGCGGGAGTGCAGTGGCTGGTGATCGATGAGGCGGACAAGTTGTTTGAGGAGGGCAAGAATAGCTTCCGGAAGCAGCTGGATCAGATCGTGACGGCGTGTTCGCATCCTCAGCGACGGATTGCCCTCTTCAGCGCCACGCACACTCTCACCGTGGGTAAGTGGACGAAGCGCAACCTGAAGCACCTGGTGAAGGTCACCGTGGGTGTGCGCAACTCCGCCACGGACTCTGTGGAGCAGAAACTGCTGTTCGTCGGCTCGGAAGCTGGGAAACTCCTCGCCGTGCGGGATCTGGTGAAGGAAGGCCTGCAGCCGCCGGTGCTGGTGTTTGTCCAGAGCAAGGAGCGTGCCCAGCAACTCCTCTCCGAGCTCCTCTACGACGGCATCAACGTGGACGCCATCCATGCGGATCGCAGCCAGAATGAACGCGACGCCGTTGTGCGCGGCTTCCGCGAGGGGAAGATCTGGGTGCTGATCTGCACGGAGCTCATGAGTCGCGGCATTGACTTCAAGGGCGTGAATCTGGTCATCAACTACGACTTCCCACCCTCGTCCATCTCCTACGTGCACCGCATCGGCCGCGCCGGCAGAGCAGGAAGGCGCGGACAGGCGGTGACCTTCTTCACGGCCGACGACGTGGTGAATCTGCGCAGCATCGCTCAGATCATTCGCAACTCCGGCGGCACTGTTCCCGAATACATGCTGGCGCTGAAGCGGCGCTCGCGCAAGGTTCGCCGGAAGCTGATGAACAGCGCCCCAAAGCGCGAGGACATCACGACACTGCCCAAGTTCATGCGCAGGAAAGCGCGGAAGAGTGCGAAAGAATAGATCGGTGGTGAAAAAACTGAACAGTCTTCTTGCGTTAATCAATCCTCCCAATTAGACACAAAACAAACATTAAATCACAGCGCGACGCGAAGCAAGGCACAGAGAAATGGCAGCGAAGGTGATGTTCAGGACTCGCAGAGCCAGTCGCAGGGCAGCTTGGGCATCTTGCTGGCCGGCCACGGCAGGTAGCCGGCCGTCTTGAACACCCAGTAGTCGTAGGAGACCTTGAACACCAGCGCGCCCAGCAGGAAGATCTCCGCCGCGATCAGGTAGTAGATGTAGTCCGTCCAGTCGTGCTGGCTCTGGCACAGCTTCATCTCCGACAGCTCCACCACGATCTGCGGCATGTTCTCGCACAGGATCTGGTCCCAGTCCTTGATGTGGTTCTGCCTGGCCAGCAGCCACAGACGCAGCACCTTGGCCGAGTTGCAGTCGCAGTGCAACTTGTTGCCCTCGAAGTACAGCATCTTGCCGCGCGGATTCTTGTCCAGCGTGTTGGACAGCAGATAGATGGGGATGGACTTTAGTTTGTTCTTCCGCAGCGACAGCACCTCGAACTCCTCAATGAAGGACGTGCCCTCGAGGTCCAGCAGCGAGGAGATCTGGTTGTTGTCCGCATACAGACGGATGATCTGCTGGTACGTGGGATTCACGTTGAGGGCTGACAAGCTGGTGATCTGGAAGGAAGAGTGTGCGTGGGAGTCAATTGATGGAATCTTTTCTTCCTGGCGCTTATATTAATGACAAATGGGCGTGGCATTTAAGAGGGCGGAGCTTCCAAAATTTCCCTTTCTCCATAAGTTACTAAAGATTTCACGATTTTAAGTGGGTCAGAAGAGATTCCAAGGCAAAACTCACATTATTGCACGACACGTTGAGTGAATATGTGTTGGCCGGAAGCTTCTCGGGCAGTTCCGTGAGACCGCGATTGGAGCAGTCGACTTTGGCGGAGAAGATCAGCAGCGGCACTCCGTCTTCGTGCGTCTGCTGCTCGTAGTTCATCCTCTCCACGGCGCACTCGCAGTCCTTCGGGCACTCGGACTGCAGCTGCTTCATCCTGTACAGCTGCCTGAGCGGCACGCTGTCCGTGGAGTTGAACCAGTTGAACGTCTGATTGGTCAGGCAGTACGTCTTGTCCGGCTCCACGAAGTTCACCTCTAGTCGCTCCGGATCGATGGTTTCACTCACGGACTTGCACAGCATGTCCTTGTTCCCGCGAATGTCAATTGTCAGGTTGGTGAGCCTGTTGATGTTGGGAATGGTGGAGAGATTGTTGTACGAGATGTCCAGCACCTGAAGCTGCATGAGATTCTTGAAGACGCGCGGCTGAATCTCATTGAGATTGTTGTTGGACACATTGAAGCATTTTGTGGCTGAGAACTTCGTGAACTCTCGCGTGATCCTCTTCAGCGTGCCATCCGTGATGGAGATGGACTCGAAGAGCTTCCAGAACCCATTGGAAATGTCCAACTCCTCCAGGCTGGCATTCCTCACGTGAATATTCTTCCAGTGCTCCGACGGATCGGGCTCCTGACACGATGTGATATTCGTGAGATTTGTCACGTTGCAGCAGATCAGCGATTGCGGTATCGTGGGATGCAGAAGACACTCGCAATTGGGGATTTGGTACTTGGCCTGGTGGATCTCATCGCTCGTGCACATCTCGGCGGTGGCGTAGAAGCACGGCCCGCTCTGCGGCGGATAGAGAAGCTCCGCCGTTGAAGGCTGCGTGGACACGATCAGCGCGGACTCTGTGGTGACCATCTGATTGGGCACGGCCGGCTCTTCGGGTATTCTCGCCTGCGCCAGGCAGAACCACGCCAAAGTCAACAGAAGCGCACGCCGGGAATCCATCTGAAAGGTGTAAAAACACACACAAACAGTGCATTAGAAGGTATTCAGCGAGACTTTCTCTCTTATTGATCGCGCTAATTACAGAGTTCAATTGACACAATTTATTGGCATTGCTCTGCAAATTGGGCGCTCCATCGCCAAGCGCGTATTGTTGTTCTGTGGAGGAGGATCAATATTTGCCCAAGATTCCGCCGGCATCGCAAAACACCGAGGAGAGAGACAAGGAGAAAAGCACATAATCATACACTTATCACTGTGCAAATATGTGAATTTTAGAATGTCGGGCGGCTCTTCTCATGCTGATTCACACATTGGCGCACTGATGCCCCCCATTTGTGCTCATTTTCGTCCAATAAACCGATCTCGCGTGAGTGGTTTCACTTGATTAAACAACAACATATCCATCTGACTGTTAAGAACATCTCAATCGCTTCGAATATTCTGTGACATCTTTTGTTTTTTTGCGAAAAAAAAGCACACTTTGCAATTCAATATCTGCCGTTCTTTGACATTTTCACAGCGAAGCCACAAATCAAAATAAAACTCTCACATTTCACCGGAAGATTTAAATGCTGAGACGGAGAGATAATTGGTGAATTTGCAGAGTCTATATTGTCGTGGAAAGATTATTCAGCTTATCAGCATTTATTTTGGTGAATAACAATTATATTGTGGAGTTCAAGACATTTGGGACATTGATCTCATTGAACAAACTAAACTAGAATATCCAGAATATCTGGAATTGTCTGAGTAAATTCACTTCATTATAGGCCTAAAGAAGAAAAACATTTCAGGAAAACTAATAAAGTGTGCAATTGTGAAGGGAATCTCATCAGCAAATACTCAGAAATATCATCTAGAAAACCTGATTTATTAGGATTTTACACCTTAAATCAGCGTCTTGTCTTTAAGACAAGAAACTAACAAGTAGTTTTGTCTAAAACTCTGATATCTAATATTGATTCCACATTCACTTCTCCAGTAGTTATTTTGTTGTTCTCAATTTTGTGCTAACTTTTTCGGCACCGAAATCTAATTTCCTCCTCAGCAGTGTGCCAAAATAGCACCAAAAAAGCAACGAAAGACAGAAAGCATAGAATCTTGCGAATTAAATTAAGAGACACACCGCAAATATTCAGCACACACAGTCGCAGTTTGAAGCCAGACTGGATGGATTAAAAGCACGTTTAATTCGCTCAATAAACAAAACGGACTATTGTGTATGCGACTTAGCATTTCCTCTCGTGTGTGCACGATTTGTCCCGGCGATGGAGAATTAATAATTGTTTTCTGCGAACTTGTAATTATTGCGTGCGGGCGCGACAAAATGCAATATTGTGAAGGAATGAAATTTGCATTCTTGCCGAGCATTTCTTTCCCTCTCAGAAGTGTTCTTTGCTCACATTTTCTATCCCAATTCATATTCTCAATAAGCATTCAAAAAGCCAAGGCGCGAAGTGCGGAGAAGAGGAAATAATAATATAAAAGCCCACAAGCTAGCCAAGCAATTGCGACGGGTTATTTTTAGACACTTTTTTTTTCTTCGAATAAACACACATTTTCGCCAAAAAAAAAAACATGAACGAGAGACTGAGAATTCGTGTTTTTTTACCTGTTGCTTTGGCTGATTATTAATTTTTTGTTGCCTGTGTGTGGATTCTTTTTCGGCTGCCGCGTGTGTGTTTGTGATTCCACCTCTATTTTATCAATGTGCTCTGATAATTGCACATTATTAGTTGTGTTTTCCCTCTCTCTCTCTGTCGCTTATCACGAGCAAGTCGCGCGCTGAGGCCGATATTTATGCTCTTTTGCAGTATTTACAAGCGCTGTTTCATTACATTCATACTATTTGTATTCGCTCGGCAGTCATAAATTCCATCGGATTTCTTGCTTATCTCTCTCGCTCTCTCTCTCTCTCCCTCCCTCTCTCTTTTCTGATATATTACGCAAAGATTTTCACAATTTCTTCTGCACTGCCCGCGGACAAAATATACCTCCGGATTTTACCAGGCGCGACACGACGGATGAAGACAGACCAACAATAGAACGTCGCTTTTCTTCCTCTACATCACACACAATTATTTAAATTATTTCCGTGCGCTTTGTGTTTAAGCTCCACTCGAGAGTTTTTTTTTGGATCTTATCGATGACTTTTTGTGCCCCAAAACACTTGTCTCACAAGTCACACCACACCAGAGATCACTTTTCCCACACAGAGCGACACTTCGGCCAGGAGAATCACACTAAAATCCCCCCTTTTGGGGATCGTACGACAGATAAAAGACCACTGAAAGTGCCTTCTGAGGTTCCTCCTTGTTGGCCGAGCTGTGAGAATGCGACGAGAGCGTGAAGAGAGCGAGAGAGAGCTGAAGAACGGCGCACGAAATCATCCACTCGAAGAGATTAAAATTAGACTGCGCGCTTACTCATCTTCCATCTCTCTCCCTCGCTGTCACTGCGCTGTCACAACACCACGTGTTTTGTTTACGTCTGCAGCGCTGCAAAAGAGAAGTGTTTTTCGGTGGGTTTTTCGTGAAAATTCACCCTGGAAAATGGTGTCAATTGGCAAGGAGGGTGACTTACTGCTGTTCAAGGGCAGCAACTTCCTCAAGCAGCGCCTCTTGCTGGCCACACTCAGCGGGAAACCCGTGAAGATCACCAGTATTCGCAGCTTCGAGAATCCACCGGGATTGCGTGAGTACGAAGTAAGTCTCATCCGTCTGCTGGACAAAATCACCAACGGGACGCGCATTGAGCTGAATGAGACTGGCACGGCCATCATCTACGAGCCGGGACTCCTCTTGGGTGGCACGCTGATGCACGAGTGCAGTCTGCAGCGCTCCATTGGATACTACTTGGACGCCCTGCTCGCTCTGGGGCCCTTCTGCAAGTCCCCACTCTGTGTCACGCTCAGAGGAGTGACGAACAGCCACGAGAGTCCCTCGGTGGATCACATCTCCTCCTCGGCTGTGCCCATCCTCAAGCGCTTCCTCATCGTCGACGATGGACTGGAGCTGAAGGTGCTGAAGCGCGGATTGATGCCGCTGGGCGGTGGCGAGGTACTCTTCAAGTGTCCCGTGCGGAAGAATCTCCACACTGTGCAGCTCCTCCGAGTGGGCATGGTGAAGAGAATCCGTGGCGTGGTGTACGCCTGTCGCGTGTCTCCCGCTCTGGCCAACAGAACTGTCGAGGCAGCCAAAGGCGTCATGCTGAACTTCCTTCCGGACGTCTATATCAACACACACCAAGTGAAGGGCAAATCCGCTGGAAATAGCCCAGGATTCGGGATAAATCTCGTGGCTGAGACCACAGATGGGTGCTTCTATGCCGCCGAGACAGTGTCGAATCTCATCAAGGATGGAACGACGCCTTCAGTGCCTGAGGAGTTGGGCAAAGAGACTGCCCAGAAGCTCCTGGAGGAGATTTACCGCGGCGGATGCGTAGACTCCACGTTCCAGTGGCTCGTCACCCTGTACATGGCTCTGGGGCAGAAGAACGTGGCCAAGTTCCTCACTGGCCCACTCTCAGACTACACCATTCACTTCCTGCAGCACCTCAGGGAGTTCTTCTCCATCACCTTCAAGCTGGAGAATCACACCGACGCGGAGGAGGAGGATGATGAGGCTTCCGAGTCACCAGCAACTGCGCCCAAAATCCTCATGACCTGCGTGGGAATAGGATATTCAAACATAAATAAACGCATGATGTGAAAAAGCCCGCATGTTTCATTCTCGTTTCATGCAACTCTTGCCAGCGCAAGTGGCATGCCAGATAACCGCAATCTTTCTTTCTGTCAAGTCGCCATTGCGGTCTGGGATTGTTTTCCTCATTCCTGAGAAGAAAAATCACTTAAAAGTGCGTAAAATGGCTAGATAGGGAGATTGTTTAGTGATATTAATTGAGATGAATCCTTCTTGCAGATAATTCACAATGGAGAACGACGCTGGAGACTTTGTTGATCTGTACTGCCCAAGGAAATGGTAAGAAGGCCCCACGTGTCAGATTTCCCAGCTAAATCCTGCCAAAACTCACTGAATAAACCTGAAAATCACACTCTTGTGATCTTCACATCCCAATCCTGCATTTTTTGGTGGGATCTGTAGAGATCTTGTGAGAAATACTGTTGTGCACTGTTACTAACCTCATTCTTTCGGGCTGTCTTCCGGACAGCTCTGCGAGCAACCGCATCATCCACGCCAAGGATCACGCTTCCATCCAGATCAACCTCGTCGACGTTGACCCCAAGACTGGCCGTATGCTGGACTCCACCAAGACGTACGCCATCTGCGGAGCGATAAGGAGAATGGGTGAATCAGACGATTGCATCGCTCGGCTGGCTAAGAAGGACGGCATCCTGTCCAAGACCTACTAGGATGTGTTGCGTTAGAACCCCATCGAGGCACTTCTCAATGCAATAAATCCTAAGAGCCAACGCACGCACAATCTTATCTCTTTGCCGCAGGGCAAACACAGCCCGAAATCCCACATCAAACAAGAGTTGTCTTGAAGGCAAGATCTACAGTATTTATTTAGTGGTTCATGTGCAGAAAAACAAGAGCAAGGGCAGCGAAGACAGCGACTCCCGGAGTGGCTGCCGCGCCTACGTTCTTGTCCTTGCCGAACATGTTGGTTGGCGGCGGAGCCGGAGGCTTCCCGTGCGTCAGCCCGATGACCATGTTGATCCAGGGCACGTATTCCTCGACGGTTGTGTAGAAAGCGTAGGTTCTCTTCGGTTGCAGGCAATCTGTGGGGAAGGGATCGGCCGGAGGATCGATTGACGACAGCAATCCAATCAACACCTTGTTGCACACCAGCGCCGATCCTCGATCCGGACTGAACTTGTACTGGAGATCCGTCGTTCCACACCACGAGCCCCCATTGACGGTGTACTGCGCACAGATGTCATCTCTCTTGGCGGATGAGAAGTTCGCACTGCGATTGCAGTGCCAAATGTCGATGATGTCGTTGGGCAGCGTCTTGAAGTCAACATTCGTCTCATTGAGAATCGACACGAAGCACGGACTTCTGGCAACTTCTCCGTTGTCCAGCTGAATCCACTTCACATTCGAGTTGTTCTGCAGCGGCAGCGGATTCTGCAGCTCCACCAGGGCGATATCGTGCTCCAGAGTCACTGCATTGAAATCCTTGTGCGTTGTGATCTTCTTCACGTTGCTCGTGAATGTTGTGGCGTTGCTCGAGAGATTTCCCGCCACGACGTAGATCATCTGCGGTGTCAGCAATCGACTGGAAGAAGCCAACACAATTTCAGATCATCCGCATAATTCCAATACTGAGAATCAGTCTTTTACCTGGAGTTTGGGAACAGCACAGTCTCCCTGACGCAGTGTCCTGTGGTCAGGACGTAGTTCTGATGCACAATTGCACCGCTGCAGAGGTGGAAATTGTCCTGTCCGGCCGAATAGACGTCATTGTACAAGCGAATGGAGACCTGGAAGGGCGACGAAGCTCCTGCCAGGCACAGCCAAACGCCCAGGAACACACTCAAAGCAATCCACTGACTCTCCATCGTGACACTCAACTGAACAACTCCGCAGAATCTCAAGATCGCACAGTCACAAAGTAATTAAGGACTTATTTGCACAGCGCGATAAGAGACACATTTACCATTCCAGATTCATCTCACACTCAGGTGATCTTCTTTATCTCAAATTTACCGAGAGATTTTGCGAAATCAACGTGATTCCCCAACAAAAGCGTCAAATTCAACCACAATATCTGGAGGCTTATCAGTTTTCCTCTTTGTAAGGAAGGAAAATTGCGGTTTGTCTGTAAAAATTAGGCCACAAATTCAAAATATCATAAAAGACAATTCCAATTTCTCATAGTTAACCCTCATGAGGGTGTTTGAAGAGAAAATCCGAGGGGGAGATAAAATGATTGCAATATTTTATGATTTTTCTTCATCTTATTGCACTTTTGCGTATCTTTCCATCATCTTTTCACCACAAAATTGCAGCTGTTGAAAAAATGAGGTCATCTTTGTGTTTTTTATTACTCATCTTGAAGAATTACGATTTTCATTGAAGGAAAATACGCAATTCTATTAATAAATGGTAATAATTTCATTTGCAATGAAAGAACTTCTATTTTAAGATGTTCCTTAGTTTCAAATAAGTCGCATTGCTTTCAAATGAACAAATTAATCAAATCAATCTTTTGAAAACAATTTCAAATACTTCTGCTGAACTAAGAAATTACTATTTCCCCCTTTGAAAATATATTACAAAAACAGCCTTGAGATTCTTGATAAATATTCAACATTTATCAAGCATGATTTTAAGAGAAAATTATGTGCCTTGCAAATTCATTTTAGGAGCCAAATCTTTAATAACAATTCACGGAATGTAATTAATTACGTAAATTCTTGTGAGAAATACAGAAAAAAACCTCATCATATTTGGTCTATAATTACGCAATTATGACATTGAGAATGTGTGTGCATTTTGTACACATTCAGCAATATAGTTTCCACGGACCTTATCAGAAAACCAGTCTCACGAGAAACCCCAAAAGTGCCAGTCAGTTCAATTTCTCCACTTTCGCTCTCAACTTAGTGACAATGAGTGATGCCCAGAGAGATTTGGAGAAGGAATTCTCACCCAGTGCTTGGGTCAAGAGATTCCGCACTGCCGAAGAAGTGATTGAGCATCACAAGAAAGTCGTGAGAGAAGGTGAGAAGATATCTTGCACTGCAATCTTTCTCAAGTTCTCAGTGCCTGTTTTCCGCTCTCTGTGCAGGAACACAACTCGCTCGGGAGACGTTCAAGTGCGAATTGGATGTGGCTTATGGACCAGGAGAGCGCTCCAAAGTGGACATTTATGGCACGGATTTGCCTCCAAATGCTCCCATTCTCGTGCTCGTGCACGGCGGCTACTGGCAGCTGGAGGAGTACACCAAGGAGCTGGGAACTTATGGCGTCCTGCCACTTGTTCCCGCCGGATGTCGCGTGATAGCGGCGGATTACGAAATGTGCCCCAAAGTGACTCTGTCGGAACTCACGGAGAATGCCTTCCAGTGCTTGTCCTTCTGCCTCAACTACGCCGCCAAGTTGGGCGCCTCGTCTGTCAGCTTCCTGGGCCACTCAGCGGGAGCGCATCTCGTCGTCGCACAGTTTGAGCAGGAGCGCTTCGAGAGGCTGCCACACAAGGAGCTCATCAGAGACGTTTATCTCTTGAGCGGCGTGTTTGACTTGCGAGAACTTCGTCACACCGAAGCTGCCAATTCGAAGAATCTCCTCGCCATCACAGACGACAATGTCACTGCTCTCTCCCCAGCTCTGGCCAGCTTCCTCCACCTCGGCACGGAGTCTGTGAACTTCACCATCGTGGTGACAGGCAATGAGTCTCAGTCGTACTTGAAAATGTCCGAAGACATGCGAGACGCTCTCCACGGAGGCACAAATCTCGTGAGATTCTATCTGTTGCCCAACAAAGATCACTTCGATATTGTGGAGCAACTCAATGACAAGGAGGAATACCTGACGGAAATTCTCCTGGAAGATCTGAAGAATTAGAAATACTCTTGAGTTTCAATTAAATAAATTCTTATATCGCTCTTTGTCAGCATCGTCCTTTGACTTTTGAAGCTCCTCGATGCACTTCAACTCTTTGGTCACTGCTGTCTTCACGCTGGCGTCCAGTTCGGCCGCCCTCTTGAAATCCTCTCGCGCCTGGTCCAGATTCCAAGCGCCCAGATGCGCTTTGGCACGCCTGAACAGCGCCTTCACATTGTCCGGATCGTATTTCAGCACTTCCGAGCAGTGTTCTATGGCCGGATAGTAATCCTTCACGTTGAGCTTGCACTGAGAGTAGTTCAGCAGCAGAGGCTTCTTCATGTTGAACAGCTCCATCCAATCCTCATCCTCGGGCTTCTCGCGCAGCATCAACTGCTCAATCATGCCCAGAGCTTGAGTGTAGGAGTTCATGGCTTGATCCAGATGGCCCTCTTTGAACTGCTGATTGCCCTTCTCACGCAGCACACCCACACTCTTCACCTTCTCATCCTCATTCAGCTGCCAAGACTCCTTCTCATAGTCTTCCGGCAGCTCCACGGACAGCAACTCAAAGGTAAACTCCAGATCACAGGGATTCTTGAACAGCTCATCAAGATCCTCATATCCCAGGCCCTCATTCTGCAGCGTCATGCCGCACACGTGCTTCCTCTTCTCCGCTGGCTTCCTCGAGTCCCGGATTGTCTTGGCAATGAAGGGATACTGCGGCAGAAGACTCTTGTCCACCGTGAATTTCGCCACTTCGCGCACTGCCATCTTCTGCACAATCACTTCCCACACCTCCAGCTTGAACTGCTTCCCCAACACCAACTCCATGGGCTTCTGCTCCTTCCGGCTGTCGTCCAGCACCTTTCCATCCGTACATTTCTTCGTCTGATAGTGGAAGTTGACCTGTGAAAACACAAAGAGGTTATTTCTCTGCCAATCGACGATGATGAGACTCTTCTCACCCTCGTTCCAGGCTTCATCTGGATGAATGCATCTCCAGGATGAATGCACTCCTTCTTGATGAGCGCCTCATCCATGTTCACCACGTTACACACCAAAGAGACACCAAATGAAAACAACACACAAACAGAGTTTCAATCTGTCAACAGGTAAAGATTAGAAAGAGACAAGCGCATGAGCGAATAAATTTATTCGACTAGAGATAAATTCCATATAGATTTTGGTACAATTCTACAGCCTCTAGCGTCTCACGAGGAGTTCTTTTTCCTCCTCAATTTTTTTTTCTCTCCTCTACGGAACATTTTTGAGTAAAGACTTTTCTCTATAGCAATAATAATTGTGTGTAATTCCATCTATGCTCAATCTTATTTGGATATGTCGATGTCGTTGTTCCGGAACATCTCGGAATCTTGATCTAAATTCAAATTTTCCACCTGTTCATCCGACAATCCATCCTTGTTCTCCGATCTGAAAGAAATCACAATCAAATGAGAATTCTTAGGAATATGATGGAAAATATCTTTAACGAGCGCGCTTACTTGAAGAGAAAGAAATCATGGCTCTCATTGTTGACTTCAGACTCACTGTTTCGCCTCTCGAGAGTCTTTCCCACCCTCTGGAATCCCTGCGCGAAGACATCCTTCACCTTATCACTGGCATCAATCAGGAGATCCAGGCTCTGCCGACGTCCTGTGTTCTTCAGACTGGACTTGGATATCCACGTCGTGAGACCCTCCTTCTTCTTCCCCGCCAATTCCTCCTCATTGTGCCGGAACACCGTCGTGCACGTCACCTTCCTGCCCTCCTCACTGGAGCTGAAGCTATCACTGTCCACCGTGTGGTCATCCGCCCCGTTCGTGTTCTGCGAGTACCCAGAACTCGTGCTCTCCGAGTTCGACAGCCTGATCTCCGTCCATTCGTCCACATTCACATTGCTCACATTGTCCACCTTGATGGGCGACGCATCGTCCGTCTGATAGCCATTACTCTCCGACGAAGTCCCACCGAAGCTCCTGATGTCAATATCACGCAGCAAATGCGGACAATCCAGAGCCGCAAAGCGCTGCTGTCGCACCGGACTGGATTTTGTGGACAACTTTGCCGGAAAGTCCAGATATTCATCACTGGAATCAATTTGACTAGAATTCGAAGCACCAAACTCCATCTCAATTGAGCGTCTCTCCTTGCGCATCTTGTGAATCTCCTCCGAAATCTGCTCCAGATTCTTCAGCGCCTCATTGTACGTCATCTTCGCCTCAGACACTCGCGCCTCCAGATCCGTCACCTTCTGCTTCTGTGCCTTCAGCAAACCATTGTAGTTCGCCCTGGTCTCATAGTAGGGCCTGCAAAAATGTGTGGAATTTCATACAATATTGGATGTTGAGGGCCAAAAGAAGCTTACTCACAAACAACACAACTCTCTCTGGTAAGCCAATAAATTAATCAACAGAAGATTTCTTCGAATATTCATGCTAAAAATAAAACAGAAATGATAAAGAAGAAAATAAGAATGCGCACTCTAGCCGAAAGTTTGCAGAATACAAGTAAAATTGAAGAAAATACCTTGACGATCTAATTGCACTTTTCAGTTGCGCCTGAAGCTTCGCCACCCGATTGTTGGCCACTTCCTGCTTCAGCTCGCAAATCTTCAGGACATTCCTCGTGTCCGTGCACTCCAACTGCGACTGATTCACTCTGCTGGCCGCGTGACTCAGCATCTCTTGGCACGCCGTGTCCAGAGTGGACTTCTCGCCCAATCCTTGCTCAGCCAGATAAACCATCTCCTTGGCAGCCGCATGAACAGATTTCGCTTTATCATAATTCACGCCCGCCACTTGCGTCTCCTTGGCCAATTGAGTGGCATAAAGACGAGCCTCGTAGTATGGCTTTGCCGTCTCAATGGAGTTTCCCAGCTTGTGAGCAGATTGTTTGATTTTCTCCACACTCTCAGCCAAAAGACGCTTAAATTCCGTCTTAGCCTCCTGCAAATATCAAATATAATAATCATATCTATTTATAGCAAATGCCAACCGCTTAAAGGATACTGCCTTACATCGAGTTCCACTTCAAATTTATTTATATCATCAGTCGCCGAATTGAGTTTCTCCAGTTCCACCTGCAAAGGACATCCGCACAACAGGCAAATTATAGGCATGAGAAGACTGAAAACAGTCCTTAAAGGTCACCAACAAACCTGAACTCTTGGATCCAGCGGAGTATTGCTATCGACAGACATTATTATTGCACTCTGTGGGAATTTTCCCCAACTCTATATTGCTTTGGCCTCTTTTCTCACTGCTTTTCCTCCTTGAAACAATTTTTCACCCAATCATCACACCCCTCGCGTCTTCTCCGCCACCCACACACGCAATCACGACGGAGCCGCAGAGGAAGTTTGCAGTGCAATTTCAGCACATTCTTCCCTTGCGCCTTCCAATTCAGTGTCACCAACACCCTCGTCACTGTGAGCAATCAAAACACTTTATTAATAGACGGCTGGTGTAATTCTGCCAATGATTCCCCAATCGCGCACACACTGGCCGAATCAAAGGCAGAGAGACACACGCAGAGAAAAAGTGACAGCCCAAGAGTCTCTTCGAGAGAGGCCTTTTTTTTATTTCGTCAGTTTGGTCAAATATCAAGAGAGCATGCGCCCGAAGAAAGCGCGAGAAAACCGTAAAATGTACTTTAAATGTCTCCTCCATGGGACATTTCGCCTCTGCAAGTGCGGCATTGCATGAATGACTGGCAATTGAGGAGCAAAAAAATAAATAAACACATCATGTATTGATCAATGAGACACACTTTTTGGCGCCTTTCTCCCATTCACGCCAAAAATCCTCACCAGCACACACACCGCTTCGGCATCACCCTGTGTGCGATAAGTGGCGAGAGCGAGAGCACTGGAAGTGCTGAGGCAAGTCAGAGAAATTGACACAGAGATGATGGCTCAGTGGACTTAACCCGCGCCATATTGATATTTATGTGATTTAGTGTCTCTCTCTCAGCATTTTTCCACCACCAATTAATGTGGCATAGTGATCATGCTGAGCTAATTGGATGCATCAGTGCTGTTGTCGTGGCGTCAATGCACACGATCGCAATGGAGGATAGAGTCTAAATAGCCAGTATTGCTCAGAAAGTTGTGATTTAGTTCATGTGTTTTGTTGTACACATCATGAAATCCTCAAGTGGTTTGACTTCAGTGAGTTCATGAACTTTCCCTCAGCGAAAAGAGGGCAGAAAATTTCCACCACCCAGAGTAAGTAGTGATCGCGCCCCATTTCTCAGCCACCATCTTCACGCCATCATCGCCCAGAGCCCCCCAAATTGCGGAGAAAATGAGCAGAGGCAGCACATAATTGGGCATTTAAATGTTGCAGGTGGACTGCACAGCATAAAAGTGGAGTGAGAGTGAGAGAGAGAGAGAGAGATAATGGCCAGTTCAGGGCATGCAGTTGTCGTATGGGAGTTTGAATCTCGCGGCGGACGCTGGCTACCGTACAGTCCGGACGTTTCGCAGCACCTCGAGCGCGCTCATGCCAAGAAACTCACCCGAGTCCTGCTCAGCGATGCCGATCCCACCATCGATCAGCTGTACGTGAACGTCCGCACGATGACGCAGTGTTGCGAGGACGTGGACTTCCCGCTGATCAATGTGCGCCGGAAGTTCTACAAGCCATCGTCGCCAGCTGGCCAGGGCACCAAGTGGGAGTGGGCAGGCACCACGAGCTCAGAGTGGCACAGCTACAATATGGAAGTGCAGTGTGTGATCGAAGAAGCGTGGGCGAAGGTATAAATCGTGACTGGATTTCCTGCAATAAGAGAGTGAGAGAAAGAGCCATTAATCACCCTAGATTCGTTTCTTTGTCCCATATTTCCAGGGTGAACAGACATTGGACTTGAGCAAGACTCACTTGGGATTGCCACTCGTGATCAACTTCTGCAATCTCACCCAGATTCGCCACCCAAACGGGCCAGTCAGGAAGATCAGGAGAATCCAACAAGCGCCTTATCCACTCATCAAAGTGCCACCGGAATCACTTCCCGGACATCAGGTGCCTTCGCGGCCACAACAGCCACCACTGCCGATAATCCCACCGAAGACAGGTCCTCGGCCGGGCCCCTCATCCGCCCAGCCGATGCCTGCGCCCTCCGCCAGCGGCACAAAGTCACGCAAGACCTCAGAAGGTGCCACGAATCTCGCCCGCCAGATTCTCAACAATCTCAACATCTTCGGCACGAAGCCCGACGCTCATCAGCGCAGCGCCTCCATGCACAGATCACGATCACGCACCCGTGGCAACTCCCTGCTGGACACAGACTCCAGCAGCACCAAGAGCGGCCGGCGCCGGCCCAGCGTCGACACAGTGTCCACATATCTCAGCCACGAGAGCAACAAGAGCGATCGCAGCCAACCGCACACCATCGGCTCCGTGTCAGATCTCCTGGACTGCTCCATCGGCAGCGACGACGTGTTCAGCAGCAACAGCCACATCTCGGGCTCCATCGTGGGCGTGGATCCGGCCAGTGACATGATATCGCGCTTCGTGCGTGTCGTCGATCCGCCCAAGTGGCCTCACGCGCAGCCCTGTCCCATGTGCATGGAGGAATTGAGGCACAATCCGCAGAATCCCGCCATTTCGCTCATCCGCTGTCAGCATCTCATGCACCTCGAGTGTCTCAACGAGATGATCATCAATCAGCAGAAGGAGAACCAATCTGTAAGTGATCCGCAAAGTCAAATTGTGCTGAGAAGAAAGGAGTGTTAAGTCTTCTTTCTCCTTCTAGCAAGCTTTATACATAGAATGTCCTGTGTGCGGGATCGTTTACGGAGAGAAAATAGGGAATCAACCACCTGGATCGATGTCATGGATCATCATCCCAAAGAGCCTGCCAGGATACGATGGGCAGAACACTATTCAAATTGTTTACAAGTAAGAATTCAAAGTGAAATGTAATGAAATTCATCGATTATATAAATCTTTATCCGTTTTAGTATCGCCTCTGGTGTCCAGGGACCTGATCATCCGCATCCCGGACGCGCCTTCTTCGCCGTGGGCTTCCCGCGAACCTGCTATCTCCCAGATTGTCCCCTCGGACGAAAGGTGAGTTGTCATCTGTGGAGGAAAAGAGACCAAAAATCAGCATTTATTCTCTTCTGCACAGGTTCTGCGCTTCCTCAAGATCGCCTTCGATCGCAGACTTCTGTTCTCCATCGGGCGCTCCGCCACCACAGGACGAGAAGATGTGGTTCTGTGGAATAGCGTCGATCACAAGACTCAGTACTCAATGTATCCCGATCCGGGATACCTTCAGCGATGCATGACACAACTAATTCACTTGGGCGTGACTGATTAACTCTCACATTCTGCATAAAGCCTAGCTTTAAATTATTTCCCACTCATCATATCTCCTCTTTAATCATTTTTTTTTGAAAAAGAGAAAGAAAAACGCGCAACACTTTTCACGTTTTTAGATCATTAGTTGTTATTTTAGGAATGACCAAAGTGCAAGAATCTAGAAGTATTTAGTAGAATCTCATGCAATTCGACAAAAAGTGCAGCTAAATAAATGGTATTAATTGCAATCCTTCATTTTATAAGAGAGTATTTTAAGGGTGAAACTTTGCACAAATGCAAGAAAAAATGTGTCAAATTTACGTGCCTTTTTCCACTAGAAGATAATTCTAAAAAATTCATTTCTAAACATAAGTGAGTGAGAAAAATATTGATGTTAAGCATGATAAAATAGTGCAAGACAAAGTCTGATGTCTCTTATCATAATTTTCCACTATATGAACAAATTTCTCTAAAGTAAGCTTAATAAGAGTGCCAATAATAGAATTTTGCTAGACATAAGAAATTGCCAGAAAGAAAGAAAGAAAGAAAAAAATGTTTTATAAATTCAATTCTCAAATGTGATTTCGACAAAAGAAAAACCCTTTATAAATTATGTATATTTTTGGAACATAAGCAAAAATGTAAGATGTTTTTTTATTTTATTTCCTATAAAATAATACCGCAGAAAGAATAAAGAAGTAAAAACAAATTTATATCTTATTTCATCTCAGCTTCTCAGACATGTAATAGACGTTCGAAAAGGTGTTCATTAAAATTTACGATCATTTTTCCACAACATAAATTGAAATGAAATTGCCAGTGCTACGACTGATTTTATGTACTATCGCCTAAAAGGTAAGTAGACACCATATTTGATCAATTTATGGGCAAATCTTTGCCTGCTGCTCAGAAGATTGCGCGCGAGAGGGAAAAAATGTCTTGTATTTGCTGATTGATTGGCATTTCTAAGCTCACCGACTCATTTTCTCCCTCATGGAAAAATTATTTCTCTATCACTAACATCTTTCTCTCTTCAATTGCATTGCGTAGAGAGAACTTAATTCATAACTTTATTGCTCACAATAAAAGTCTCAAACTTAAAACATATAGACAAACTTACCTTCACGAAAATCTCGTGACTCACACAGATAATTGAATCCTGAAAGTAAAAGTGTCCAATCTGCAAATTAAAAGCATTACGCAATTAACATAAAATCCACCAAATGTGAGGATAAAGTGTGTTTTTGTATTGTGATCAATCAAATAATTCCAGACATTCTTTCATCCTCTCTTCACTGTCCAGCCAAAGTCTGCCTCTCATTGCAATTATGGATGGTCTGAGGTCGTCCACATGTTTCATCTCGAGACGTGCTTCACTTCTTCTTGCACACACTCAACAGATCACTTTGGCCGAGCATGAAAAAGAAATCGATCCCAATTGGCGACACAAGATCACTGGAAATGCGAATTTCCAGGGAATTTCAGCCAAAGGCAAGGGTAGTTTCGCAGCAAAAAGTACACCACGCACACACACACACACACACACACACTCATTCCACGCATGATTAAGATGATTAATGAGGTATTTGCTTAAGTGGAAATAAATATGTGCATCATAATGGAATAATTCACTGAAGGAATGTTAAAGAATTTCTGAAGAAATTTCCACACTTTTTACGTGAATAGACGCGCGTTTTGATTAGGATTAAATATGTAAAGAAATATGTTAAGTAAATATACTCGGCGAGTATCTTCCGATTGTACAGAAAAACTTGGTCTCACGCAATTCATACGCAACTTCAGTTGCACCAGATAAGAGAATCAGTGCGATTAGTTGCGTGCAGAAAAGTTCTCGAATTCTTTTTTTTTGCTCAGGCAGACACTTTAGTTGTACACCGTGGGCAATATATTGTCTCCCCTTTTGTACACCACACACATCATTCTCACTCATCATCGGCGCGCGGTGAGAGTGAGAGAAGTGAATAAAAATTACAAGGGAATTTGCTTTGCTCAATCAACAATCCAAGTAAGGTAGAAGAACACCATAATGCAGCATCGCTCAATGTGCACTCATGCCACGATTCGAGTGAATGGGGAGTGCGTCGTGAGTGTGACAAGGAGGCAATTCCCTCCACAGCAACACACCTTCCACAAAGTGGATTATCTGACGAGGGACAGCACTGTCCCGCGAGAGTCAGTGCTAAAAAACTGAAGAAGTCGTATATGATTCATAGGCTGCGACGTTAATCAGTTCAGTTGCTCAGCCGCACTCGTACGGAAAACACATCTCCGAAACGCTTCTCTTCTGAGACAGTTTCACTTTGGAATAGCAAAGAAGAAAAAAAAAGAGAAATAGAGATCATCTTCTCTTTTTGCGGGAAAAAGTCTTTTGTGCTTTGGTGAATTGCGCGTGAATGTTGAGTCAGAGAAAACACATCTCTCTGTGTGAAGAAGAAGAGATTCTGCAGCACAGAAATCCTGTGGGTGAGGTTTATTGACTCTTCATTGGTAGTCTTGGCCAAAATCGGCAACTCAAGACGGTGGGACAGATCTTTGAGAATCGCAGGCACTTCACACTGTTTATAATGATTTAACAGTAAGAAGGTGGTGATCATATTTGGAAGACAACACACATCGAATATAATCATAAATACTCAAGCAATTAAGGTGGAAAAGAAGGCAAAGTAGAAAAAAGTTCTCGTGTTACAAAAAACCAAAATCAGTGATTTATGGATTGTTTCTTCTTGTGAACTTCTTCCACTCGCGCAACTTCCAGTTCGCGCGAATCAATGAATGAAACCAATTTTCGCATCATCTGAGACGTGCTCTTTTCTTCCTTCTTCCCAATCACTGATCATCATCAACTGTGCGCTGACAAGTTGAAGTACAATATTATATCCGAGGTACGTGATATTTTATGAAAGATGTTTTTCTTCTTCCCGCACCACGAAAGCGCGTCTTGGTAAAGTCTATCGAAATATGGCAAAAACATCATTTAATTCCACCCACACGGCAAACCAAGTCAGTAGTTTTAGTTCTGCTTCGAAATTATCTAGTTTAATTGAATAAAAAATCACTTTGCTAATAAATTGATGTACACTTTTCTCTCTGCGTCTTATGCCACAAACATCTGCTTCTTCTTCTTTCCCACGAAAAATACCACTCTTGCGACTCTTTTAATTATACTTCTTCTGTTTTTTTTTTTTGGAGGAAATAGAAGAGAGACAATTCGTATCTTTTACCACAGAATTGTTCTTAATGTGAATCGGAAAAAAATATTTGTGGGAATTTAAGAATTTCATTTCACACGCATATTTTCGCCTCTTTCGGGCGGTTCTTCATTCAGTGTCTCTCTCTCTGTCTCTTATCAAAAGGGCCCAAATAGAGAAGATTCTTCTTCTCCCTGAGATCTTATATAAATTCTCCTTCTAACGTTGCTAAAAACCCAACAACAACAACAACAAAGAACAGTTTTCTGTTGGTAATTTAATCTTGCATATTCGCCTTATTGCATGCCCCAGTAATTTTCTCTACCACCACGCAGAATCATCGGCCAAACACATTTAAGGTGAAAGAAGGAGGAAAAAGTAATGAGAAACACCGATAATAAATTCATTTATGAGCTCTTTTGCTCTTCTTCTCAGTTAGAGAAGAAGACGAAGAAGGAAAAGAAAAGCAGTCTGTTTAGCTTGATGTATTTATAATTTAGTGCGAGATAAAACTGACAAAATGTCATTAGATAGCAATCTCAATGGGTGTACATTGCAATTTAATTGAGTGCGCATTAAGCGTATCTTTGCAGGCAAATTACTGTTAAATTCCCGCGGACAAACTCCGCCCAATTTCCACATATCTATCATTAATTAATTGAAACACTTGTGTGTGATCACATGAAATTATGCTACCCACACTCAAAAGCCGGCAATTTCGTACTCCCCATCATCTTAATGTGATCGCACCATTTTCGCCACCCACGCGCGCCACCTCAAGTTCTTTGCCAAGCAACTCTCAGCATCTCTGCTGCTCCAGCAAACACACAATGTCACTGTTAACTGTTCAGATTGAATTTCCTCATATTTTGCAATCTATACGCCATAATACTCAATATCTCGCGGCCTCAACAGTTGAGACAGATTTAGTGTGTGAAAAAAGAAGCATATTATGAGAGCCACTGTGAAAATACTTCACAAAACGTGCCTCGATCACCATAACGTGATCGAGGGAAATAAATTCTTTTCAGGCAGTCACACACTGACTTCATTTCCACAAACTTTACGCGTCTCATTAAATAATTTTTGCCAATAAATTTTCAAGCTGTAAATGTCTCACTTCTCTGGCCATTTGGCTGGAAACACACACACATAATGAGGATGATCGTAAATAGTCATTAGGGGCACACGATAAATTTGCGGAAATTAACTAATATGTTCCAGAAATGATAAGATTATCTAATAAAGAAAAGAAAATTGAAGATATAAGTCGCTGTATGGTGTCGTATTTTCGCCAAATTTGCACACACAGAAGAATATGTTTCATTAGTATCACAAATGCAATTTATCTGTCTTTAATATTAACCATTTGTCGATTTTACCCATTGAACATATTCGCGTCGTTAAACCAACACTCTCAATCGTAAATTGAGTCGCATTTGACATGAGAAAAAGATGCAAATTTCCCAACAATGGCGCAAATCCCTCCATAGAATTACAGCAAGTTCCATTTAATTGTTTCCACACTCATCATCTCATCTCGACGATCTCTTCTCACATATTTGGTCATCACGCTTCTTCTCTCTTGATGGATTAGAAAGAGAGAAAATAGTACAAAATACACAGAGTAACATATATTGAAGTGAATATGCAAATTTGTCTGTGACCAAAAAATCACATTAATTCACACACAACAAGACTTTGTCGTTGTTCTCCGAACAAAATGTTTAATCCTACGCAACATTTGCCGTCGATTCATCTGCAGATGACATCAATAAATTAATCATTATTGAAATTGATGCATATTCAAATGCATTAAGTGCACCAATTATGGTGCTGAGACTCTGTTTTGTGCGCTTCTTTTTTCTTGCCTCCTCCTTCAACCCAATGCGGCGGCAGATGAACACCCAGTGCGCCAAGTGAGACTTTGTTGGCGATCGTGACAGAATGTAGGTGCATTTCTTCGGACGTGAGGGAGAGTCGCTGAGTGGAATGAGTCTAAATAGAATTTTAAAAGTCTGACATCACACTAGTCGCCGTCATAAATGGGCATATTTGTGGCCTTTTTCAACGCCATGAGCCTCAAATACTCTTCATCATATATTTTTGTTGACCAATCGACCAATTAAATATTTGACTATTGAGAGTTTATTGAACTAAGAGAACTCAACGCCACACACAATGTACAATAAATCTAACTCTTTTTCTCTGGGGTAATTATCTTGTTCAAATAACGCACTCTCAAAAACTCTATTAATTTATACGCTCGCGCACATTAAAATACAATATTCTCCCAATGACATTTTCTCGCGTCAATACACACAATTATATCCATTTATGGAATATTATTCGGACTGTGAAATGTTGCTACTTCCATATCATTTTGTATCTCTCTCGCCGGACGCTTTGCGTGTTACATGAAATGGCAATTTTTGGTAATCCTCTGCGGGGACAACTTTCCAGCCTCCCAAACAGACACTCAGTCTTCTCTGCCGACAGAGGAGTTAATAAATTTAAATGTAATTCCATATCCCATGCGATAAGGCACAATATTGCATCGCCAAGAAGGTCTCTCTCACCAAGAAACACCCTTTCCACTCAAGCCCCGACCTGAGAGATGCAATGCGACGATGGTGACGAACAAATTAAGAAATAGCAACATTGTAAAACACACATTGTTATTCACTATTCGTGGAATACTTGAGGACATTGCACACAATCTGGAAAACCTGTTAATATTCCAAAGCGACCATATTGAGAATTATATTCACTCTCTCAAATTGATTTATGCTGGCAATTTTTCACTCTCATTTCATCTCTTCTCAGCTGACATTCTTCGCCTATTTGTGCACGATTGACATACCGAATCTTCGCCAATTAAATAGTTTGAAAACATTGTTCATAAAATGATTATGGATGCCTATAAATGGCAGATAATTGCGATGAAAAATTATTTATCAATTATTTCACTGACACCATCTGTTGCATTCACACATTTTCCATTAGTTTATCCACTCTCTTGAAATTTGTCTGCACAATTCTCATGTGTGTGATCATGAATAAAAACAATACCATCATTCTCATCAGCGTCAATTGCGTCACACCATCGAAAGAAGTCATAAAGCGGGAAACTGGTCAGAAACTTTTGCTTTCTATGCAGAGGCGCGACACAATCAATTGCCAGTGGCGTAGCAGAGAAGACACAGCGAAAAGGGTCACAAAGTGCACAAATGAGTCTCATGCTCTCTCTCTCTCAACTACGCCTTTGCTATCAATTCCACTCTTTCTTGAGACACATAAACAAAAACCACGCTGACAAAAATACCAAATCGCAACAATAGAAGGTGGAGGTGAGGTAAAAACCAACCACGGCATGTGAAGAGGAAGATTAAAGAATCGGCATTTCATTCACGTGTCAATATATCTTTCATCACGTCAACCATTTTTCTGTGTGGCCAGACAAACGAAACAAAAAACTGACCCAAATCTCTTAAGTTAAAATTTGCAAAATTCAAGGAGCCCAACACTGACACAAGCCAAAGAGAAGAAAAAAAGAATTCTATAGTGTCTCTTATATGAAAAAAATGCTCATAAAGCGCGAAAGAGTGAGACCCAGTTGTCCATTTTTGGCATGAAATCCATATTTGGAAGGTGGTTTGCCTGAAAATCAACCCAATGAGTCGCTTAAATAATCAATTTGAAGCCAATAAGAACACACAGTGCGCGTCATTGAGATGTGGAATCAAGTACACAACATATGCATATTGTTATTATTATTGTCTTGCAAGAGGGAAAGATAAAAGATCAATTGCCTCTGCCAAAAAAAAAACACCCTGAAAATCTCTTCACCAACACACGAAAAAATAAAATGATGACATCATCTGTAGAAATGTTAAAGTCAACATTTGCTTGACTCTGAAAATAAATTATTGCACATTTAATCTTTTTTTTTCGCTTCTCTCTCGGCATCAACTTTTGTGTGCATGTGTTTTACTATTTTATGTTGTATTTATTCACAGGACAAGGACACTTTATTGACGACGACGACTGAGACGACAAAACGAGTGTCCTCGAGAAAAATGGCATCAGAACCGGTGGATTTAGCATTGATACACGATGAAGAATTGCTCCGTCGAATGGTGAGTCTATGCAAAATTTCGACCAATCCACCAACAAACTCATCACCATTTTTCCAATAAATCCGTCCAATTAGTGTGAAATAAACATCAGACACGAGAGAAAACCCCAATAGCGCACCTCTTCCACATCTCAAGAGGCACCACGAGTCAATTTATCATCTAATTGCAAGCACATGTGAGATTTATTCACCTCACTGTGCGTTTTTTTGCGCACCAACTCCTTCCAAAACACCCGCCAAAGATTTGACCCTTTGCAAGCATCAGTAAAGTGAGGGAAAAAAATCATTGAAAATGCAACGTAGAAAGCCATTATTGTGGCTTCGGTATATTTGTATATTGTTCAATTTGCCAACAAAATCCACCCACATGGATTGAATTACACACAGAACAAATTCACACTCCCAGCGTTGTCCCCCTTCTTGGCTACTATTGAGCTCACCTCGCTTCGAAAATATTGCCATTTAGTCAGATATGATATTATGGTGCTGACAAAGCAGGCAAATAACGTAACGTGGCTCACGATTAAATATAAATCATTATTGTTTTTTTTTTTATCTATTCTCATAATAAATACAACACCTTCTGGTTCATATGACCAACTTCAGCAGTGACTAATAATCGACCACACAAAGTCTCTCTGTATGACTTTGGCTGCAATTCACATTATGCATAATGAGAGGGACAGAGAGTCATTGGGATTTCACGCGTTCATCTCTCCTCTATAAGATCAATGTCTCATTTGTCTGATAGCCAGACAGTCTGGATAGTTCTTAAGCAGGTATGCGCAAAAAACAATAAACACTGTCACACATAATTACCTGCCACTGCTGCCATCAGTCATCACCTCCTCTCGCCACACAGATCGCCGCTACTTCTCTCTCTCTCTCTCTTCTCATTAATCGCTCTCGCCTCGACAATCAGGTCAATCAATCTCCATGGCCGGTGGAAGTGCGGAAGATTGCACTGTTCATCAGTGGCATGGAACACAATCTGTGGATTGTGGAGAAGGAAGGAGGATTGCAATATTAAATGTTTTAGCAAACTTTGACGCCACGAGATGCTGATTAGATGGTGTAGCGCAAGATTTAGCATAAATATAGACTTAACATTGGCGTGGAAAATCAACAATAGAGCACAACACACGGCTAAAGAATTCATATCGCTCCACAAGATCATGATCTTCTTATTTTCTCCACTCATCTTTCTCACTCTCTCAGTGTGCTGTAGAATAAAAACTCCTCTTCCTTTCTCTATCTCACAACCTTCTTCTTCGAACCAGAAGAACCGGTTCTCCTGACCATAAACCCATGACATTCTGGGTGCTTTTAAACCCCCTTCTCAGACACTCGACCGCGAACATCTCCACAATTCGTCTCTTCTGCAAAAAAATATTTGCACCAAAAATTGTACACACAGATCACAATCACTTGCAATGCGTGAGCGTGAGATTCTCCTTCTTGCTTCTTCTGCAACCCCCGATGAGATCGCATCAATATTACCATAAGCACAATTGATCCACGGTCTGTACAAAGGCCCAAATTGCGTAAAATCAAGGAAAAAGTCACATCACAAGTTGCATGATTCTCTCATCCCCAGACAAGTGACTTTTATGGCAATTGCATCTCTCATTAGTTATTTGTGAATGGCCATTCAGTGACACATTGCAATAATGCAATAGAATTAATGTTGCGGTCTTTCATTTCACATAAATACAAAGTAGAGAGATGATAAATGATTACATGTTTCGCATTTTAAAATTAATTTGGGATTTTCTAGAGCTTTAAAGAAGCAATCGTTCAGATAATTAGAATTCCTGCTAATAAACAGACAATCTCTAAGACATTTATAGTCAAGGCATTGGACAATATACTGCCTTATTATTTTAATAAAACATTTTGCTAATATTTTCCCCTCTCTCGTGACTTTTTCTGCGCGTGGGCACAAAAGAGACATTCTATGGAAGAGTGTGGCTCGGGAAAAAAAGTGTTTCTTTGAGCAACAACCCACACTTGAGTGCCTTTTTCCTCTCCCCATTTGACAAACAATAAATATAATAAAAATTGCAAATTTGTAGAATTTTTATATTGATCAAATCAAGAAAAAAACCGCAACACTTTGGCGGAAGGAAAGTCATCTGATTTATGAGTGAAACCACGACAATCATTTGGCCACGTAAATTCTAACTCGCGCGATACGACTGAAGGCAATAAAATCTATGGGGGGATAATTAAAAGAAAACCAATCATGTTCAAACTTCTTCCCAAAATCATCGCGATTGTGGGCATTTTGAGTGGTAAAAAAGTGCCATTTATCGCAACCAATTTCAGATATTCTACCCAAATTTTATTGCTCGCTTTTTTTGAGATCTCTCAACAGCAACAAAAAAAAGATCCGTGCTGAAAATTTGAATAAAACAGACACTTCTTTCCGCGGAGGTGAAGACAAACACACATGCACAGCACACCACCTCTCTTCTTCACACTCAATGGACTTGCAGAGACTTCTTTCTCCAGACACCGAGTCAGTTGACTGGCGATTACCACACGAGCAAGATTGCTTGTCGGTCCGCGGATAGAAAAAGGTTCTTTCGCCCCCCTTTTTTTTGTATATCACACAGAGACTTTTTCTTCTGTTCTTGTGTCCATCAGTGTTTTGCCCTCTTCTTCCCAGGCCAAATTGCATATTTACCCGTGAGTTCACAGTGAATATTTCGGGCTCATTTGCTCACTTGCCAATTGCATTCTTCTCGCATAGCAAGAGAGCGAAAAAAAAATCGTGTTGGTGGGCAAATGATCGCCTTTTTACTTCCATCACAGCACAGCGAAATTAATCCCATTTCGAGCGACCCACACTCAACTGGGTGGCACATTTTGCCATCATTAATGGACCTCTGCTGTGGCTCAATAAAAAGTGCACACATTTCACATTAATAATACCTACAAGAGAAGGCAAAGCAAAAAAAAAAGAGTCAAATCCACACTTTGCGCGCGCACGATGTTAATGAAAAGAGCTCAAGTGTATCGGATTAATTGAATAAGAAGCCTGAAAAAGGTGCTTAATGCCTCAGAAAAAACACACATTATTAATATAAATTTCTTCTTTTCAATCAACCCCCACCCACTAAACTTATTAATCGACAACGAACAAAAAAATCGGGGACACGCTCAACAGTGGCAGCAGACGGACGACTTCGCGAGGAAGAAGGAGATTCGGGCTCATATGTACAAATTGCGCGAGAGTCGTCTGCGTGATTTCTACACTGGTGACATGGATGCAACCATTGGAATTGGCAAGGGACTCGGCGCCAGTCATGGCGATTCCCTGCAGGATCAATCCTTCGAGAGCTTCAAAACGAAGGAGATTCGCGACTCTGAGAGTCCCACAAGGTGAGCTTTTCCCACGCTTTTACACACATTTTCTTGTCATTGCACTCCAGATCAAGATTGCAGAGAAACAGATTGAGCAGAGGGTTATTCACACAGCATGCATCGTGTGTCGCAAATCACTGAAGATCTTTGGGTGTTCTTGTGAAGATTGTGAATGTGATTTATGCATTTCTCCTCCTTATTGTACTGATATTGAGTCACTGACAATTCTAGTGCTTGCAATTTGCAAGAATAGCAGTGTAGCGGCATCTTTTCTTCTTCTAACCTGGACTCCAATCCGCTCAATTTCTTTGCAGAGACTACAAGTTTGATGTTGTGGCGCCAGACACAAGTGGATGGAATGTCATTACATCATCGGAAGTGACAAACGACGGGAAAACTCACACAACCCAAACACTCGCGACCACGGCCGGTGTTCAAGATGTGCCAGGTGGGAAATCGTCATTCTCCGGGCGCAATGAGCAATTGTCCTCGGTGACCCATGAAGGTGACGACAGCAATTTCACAACCTCCGCCGGCCAGTCGTCCAACACTCTCCTCCAGGAGACCACCGTGACTGGCGATGAGGACAGCGGCAAGACAGAGACCAAGTCCACATCCGTCACCTCATCCTCTCGTGTCATCAAGTCACAGCACACATCGTCCGGCGATCAGGCTGCTCGTGATCACAGAAACGTTGCCGACGAGTTCGATGAATTGCTCCAATCAGCACGGAATACATCATCGAGTGTCCAGCAATCCACTTCACTCACAACATCCAGCGAGAAACAGAGTGAGCAGCAATTTACTGGTCAGCAAGAGAGCAAAGTATCAACAACAATGACCGCTGAGGCGCATCAGAAGGAGGTTGAGCGTCTGGCCGCCCTGCCGGGTGAGATTATATCGCGCAAGATTGACTATCCCGATGCCAATACGAAGATGATCACAGAGACAAAGGCCCTCGATGACGGGACAATCGTCACAACGACCAAGTACGAAACCAGATCAGCCTCATCCAAGGTATGGAGCTCAGCTTCCAACAAGCAAGAGTCATCCTCCACGCGCTCCGTCACGGAGGAGCGCGCCCAGAAGCAGAGGATCGAGTGTATCCGTGACGAGTCATCTGCGACCAGAGAGAAATCGCATGAGATATCGCACGATCGCGAAACCACTCAACAGCACGCACTCAAGTGCGATACAACGGCAACAGATGATTATGCTCCCAGTGAAATCTCTCAATTCTCACCGCAGTCCAACAAGACCTTCGAGATGTTCGAGGAGGACACGCACCAGACATCCGAGAAGGTGGTGAAGCAGGAGTATCGCCAGGATCACACCAGTAAGCGAGTCAGTGTGGAGGTTGACGCTGCTCATGATGCCTTTGCGCGCTCCTTGAGGTCCATTTCTCCCGATCGCGGCAGCACAAAGTCATCAACAACTCGTCTCAGCACAGACAAGGGACAATCCAGACGGAGTCCTTCGCGAGAGAGTGACACAAGTCGCATCAGTTCGAACACAGTGACGAAGAGCAAGAGTGATCTCACCACTCATGATTACCAGAGATCAACCATCAGCTCTGAGAGGCGTCAAGCTCGAGCAACCACGCCGAAGCGCCCATCAACTGTTGTCGAGTCCACTGAAGATGAGCCAAGGGATCGTGTGCCTGTCAAGGAGCCCTCTCCAGTCAGGAGACCCACTCAGGCAAAAGACAGCAAGCCCTCCTCTTCGGTCAAGAAATTGCCCAAGACTCACGACAAGACTCCAATGAAGGACTTCGAGACAGATTCAGCGAGATCCACTTCACCAACAAGCACTGTCAGCGATATTGTCTATCACAAGACAGACAATCGTCAAATCATCACTGATCTGGACTCTGAGGAAGTGACTGAAGTTGTGAAGACAAGCCAAGAGTCCACCAACACTCAGTCAGTGACCGAAACGACAACTATTGCTGAAGGATACGGAGATGAAGTCATTGAAGTACAGGAAAACACTTCCAAGACTCCAACTGCTCCGCCAAGGAAGAGTTCCATCAAGAAAACCACTGAGGAAGTCATTGACAGTGTTGATTCTAAGGAAACTTCTGATGAGACATCGAAAAGATACAAGTTGACCAGGAGTGAGACTTATGAGGAGCGTTGCAGGAAGATTCTCGGAATGTCTGAAACGACTGAAGAAACACAGGAGAAGACTTCTCAAGACACCGTCGACTTCTTGGCCAATGAAGTCAATGTGGAGACGAAGAATAGAGCTAAGAGTCCTGAGAAGGTCAGAAAGACTTCTTCGCCATCTAAAAAGACTCCCGCGAGCAGCCCTGAAAGAAAGCCATCCATTAAGAAGACTCCACAGAAAGTGGAACCAGTGAGAAAATCCAGCAAGAATGAGATAAAGAGAGAATCCGTCACGGAGATCACAACTCAATCCACCAAGACGGTGATTAAGAAGGAGCTGAAAGAGGATGACAAGGAGAGAAAGTCCACTACAACCATCATCACAACGACTAAAGATGCTCCTGAAAAGAAAACTCTGGGAGAGAGGAAGAAGTCGACTGGATTGGATACAAAGCATGTGTCAACGGCTAAGATAACCATTTCTCCTGTGGCTTCCAAGGCGAAGCCTAAGGATGAGAAGCCAGCAGCGAAGAAGCCCAAGAAGATCACTCACAGTGATTATTCGTCAGAAGCTGAGGATTCGGAGAAGGAAGTTCCAGCACCTGAGAAAACTCCATCAGCGCGGCGAGTGAATAAATTGCCGGTGGTGGAGCGAAAGGAATCCGCTCCGGTGTACAGCAGTCGCCAGGAGAAGGAGTCTGTGCACAAAATGGCAAGATCCACCAGTGAAAACACCTTCAGATCATCAGCACGGAAGCGCTCAAAGCCTGACATGCCAGAAATCAGTAAATCGCCGGAAAAGACAACGAAAGCCGACACAAAACGACCCACAAAGTGTATCACGACAAAAACGATCAATCTCACGGCGACAAATCACACAGAGAGCGCCAAGACGAGTGAGGATGTTGATGTCATTGTTGATATTCAGCAGGCAAAGTCATCACGAGAGCCCACACCCAATCGCATCATTCCTGTTCCGGTGTCGCCAGAAGAGGACACGGGAAAGCCACGATATCCGGATGCTGTGCACGAACCGGATGACGAGCGTCGCCAGCCGAAGGTGAAGAATATTCCCATCTATGAGGAAGAGACAAGTGACTACATTGGCTGCAGCATCACCGAAGTGGCTGAAGACGACACCAATTTGACCGTCGCCGACAAGGTGAATCTCTTCACCAGCCTCAAGGAGAATTCCAACTACGAGAGAACATCATTCACCAAGGAATCCTCCGTGGATGTGGATGAGAAGCTGAAGGATGACGAATGTCTCCTCAGTGTTTCGGATAAAGTCAGCAAATTCATCACATCTGCTGAGGAGGTGAAGAAAATCAAGACTTCAACGCCCTTCTCGCCTGATCGCGATCGCGATGACTCGCTCAGGGTGGACGAGGAGTGTCTCTTGAGTGTCACAGACAAGGTCACCAAGTTCATCTCCACCGCTGAAGATGTCAAGAAGCCCAAAGTCTCAAGTCCCTTCGTCCCGGAATCTCGGCCTGAAAATGGCGACACAATCACGGATGAGAGTCAATTGAGTGTCACTGAGAAGGTGACAAAGTTCAGGACAAGAGCTGAGAAGTTGGCAGAAACCACGCCTCAGAGATCTCCAGAACTCGTGGCCAAGATCGACAGGCAAGTTGCCCGTTCAAAGCCACCAACGGTTGAGAAGGTGTCAGAGGAGGAATTCGGGGATTTCGAGGAGGAGAAGACCAGGAGGAGCAGCGTGAAGGATCGCTACAGTCCCAAGGAGAAGCCAGTGACCACATCTCCAATCACCCTGCGCAGCACGGAGATTGTGAAGAAGGCCAAGGCTGTCTTTGAGCAGAACAAGTCCCCATCGGCAAAGCCCAAGGACATCCTATCGCGTCCTTCCGTCTGGGAGGGTCGAAAGACAGCCAAACTGTCAGACATTGGGGTGAAGGGAAAGGAGAAATCCTTACCAGAGGAAGCGCCCAAATCCGAGGGATTCTTCCTCACAGAACCCGGCAATCGAGACACTCCTCGAGAACTTGATCGTGCCTTCCAGAATGCCGAGAAATCCTCTCCCAGTGACTCAATTCCATCCTATCTGAAGGACGCTGTCGCCACGCGAAAGCACATCTTCGAGAAGAGGATTTCCGAGGAGAAGATCAGAAGAAAGTCCCAAGAATCGGTGGAGAGAAAGCCCTCAAAGCCTGTTGAAGATATTGAGCCTGTTGTCGAGGAGATTTGTATCAAGAAACTCGCTTATCAAACACAACCAGATTCTCCTGTCCAGAAGGACTCTGTGGGCGCCAAGAGGAGTCTCTTCGAGAGAAAAGACTCCCTGCCATCGTACATGAGTCCCACATTGAGCTCCATCGAGCACATGAATAGCCAGAGGAAGGATTCCATTGACATCAACAAGAGCAACTTGCGAAAGGCCTCAATGGAAAAGAAGGACGAAGAGTACGATGGCAATCCTAGAAGTACTGTGAAATTCGGTGTGGCTCTCAAGAGAACCGACTCAGAGACTTCACAGCCTCGTCGCAAGTCCAGTTGTCCGGAAATACCACACATTGAGGAGATCTTCGAGTTGGAATTGCTGGAGAGAATGGTAAGATTTCTCTGGTCATTTTCATAGAAAGTTTTGTTGAAATAGAATTATTCCTTTTTCAGCTCGAAACTGTTGTTGGCTATGAGCAACGCAGGAGAATTCGCGCCCAGATTCGCCTGGTGAAGAAGCAAATGGAGAGCAAGGAAGTGAGGAAGATCAGTCCCTCGAGGAAGCTCTCACCGCGCAAGATCAGTGGCAAATCAACCGAAGCTCCTGATCACACTCAATTGAACGGACACAAGAGCGAGTGTGAGACTGTTGAGATTCACGAGAGTCGCGTGGAGAAGCACATGTCCAGAAGCCCAAGTCCACCAAAATCCCTGCCCAATCTCCGTCAGATGCGCTCAGTGGCGACTGAGTCGAAGGATGACAAGCCCATCTGGGCCACCAAGAACATCCTCAAGAAGGCATCCGAGAACAATCGCACCTACTCGAGCAGGAGAGTCGTGAGTGAAAGCAAGACGCAACGCATGAAGACAGACGTCAGCACTGAACCGAAGTCCATGGATTCAGTGACATCGAGCTACGGAATTGGGCCAACGGATGACAATGGACAGCCTCTGTTTGGCCTGCGTGCGCTGAAGAAGAAGACTCCAGGCGCGAGTGATTCCACAACCAAGGGTGAGTGTGAAGACTGTGAGAAAAGAGCAATTTCAAGACGAGGATTTTTTTCCATCTCTCTTCCAGTATCCGGAAGCATAGTCAGGGAGTCTTATCACTCTGTCAACGGTGCTGATCCCGTTGGCCAGCGCACTGTCACACTCTACTCTTCAGACCTTGCGGACTTCGACCAGATCGGTGAGCGACCGGAGAAGAAAACACCATCGCAGATCCGCGACAAACTCATCGAGAGTGAGCAATCGCGAAAAGTGCACAGCGTGACAAAGACGCAGAAGATCGGCGACAACACATCACCCAAAGTAGTCCGCCGTGGCTCCGTGAAGGAGTTGAGTGAGAAGTTCATCCAGAAGGAAGCTGCCATCACTGACAAGAGCACAGCGCAGAGTTACCCAAAAGCCGGCCTCATTCTCAGAACACAGACGAGTCGAGAGGATGGCAAAACCACCCCCAAATCCCCAGACAAGGGGAGAATCGTGGTGACCAAGACACAGACTGTCACTGGCGATGGTGGTGGTGGTGGTTTCAAGACAACCACAACCACCAAGGAAACGCGATCATTCCTCAACAGTGCCAACAGCAAAGTCACGGACGTTCAAGATGTTCTCGATCGCATGAGAAACGCCGACAATGGTGAGAGAAAGAGAAATTTTATCAGTAAAACCACTTGAGAGGATATTTTTAACTCCGGCACTCCACTTTTTTCCAGTTGAAGAAGTCGAAGACAGTGCCGACGACAGAGAAGCCAGGGCCCTCCTGAACAAGTTTATAGGAGCCAGCGTCCTTATGGCCGGAATGGAGTCCATGATGCCGCAACAAATGAGCCAAATTGTGGGCGCGCCCGTGACGAAGCAGCAGCAGGTGAGATTAGAGATGTGCCAAAAGGGGGAAAAATCACACTCCTTGTTCTTATCCCAATGTTGCAGGAGAGGAAATGTGTGTGTGTGTCTTCACTCTAGGTCAAGTGACACACTCTCTCTTGCTCTTGCTCTCTCACGTCGCTTTTCACGGGAAAAGATCATAAATAAAATTTGCGCGCAGTTTTAACTATCGAAAAACCGCCTCACGGCAGCCAAATGGGGAGTCACACACACTCAAAAAACAAAAAGAGAAAGAAACAACGACCCATGATTTACGACTATTTAATTGTCACTGAATTTTCCCTCCTTTTTAGGTGTGACCACGTGGCAACAAAGAGAGCAACAATCTCAATCGCAATTCACACAGACATTGTGTCTATTTTCATCCTCTTGAAAACCATGTGGTCAGTGAAATTTGTGCGCCTTTTTTTTCCTCCTCTCCACAAAACTCTCGCGCGAGTTTGCCTCCAAATCCAAATCCGAAAAACTCTATAAATAAATTCTCTCTCCGTCAGTTAAGGAAGCGCGCGAGCATTTTCGCAATGCTGCGCTCTGTGCCCTGCTTTTACCGCGGCGCACGTTTTCCCATATAGATTTTGGAATATTGATAGAAAGAAAATAAATAGTGAAAAAGAGAGCGCGAGAGATTGAACAAGTGACGTCACGGGAAAGTTAATTATCCTCAGCAGTAAATATCTCAAAGCCATCATTTAACGATTTCCAAGAATACCTCTAAGAACCCCAAGTATTTGTAATTTCATTGACACGCCGCGCAATTTTCCTCAAGCTTGAATAAGAAAGAAAGAAAAAATCGTTGAAATTACATTGACAAAAAGGCCGATCAAATCCAAATAAATCAAGCATGATCTATTTTTTCCACAAATATCCGCGCGCGCGAGAGGAAGAGGTCAAAATATCGAGGGTTTTCTTTTGTATCGACAAAAAAAACCGCCTAAGATTTTCTCTCTCTCTCTCTTCTCAAGATTTTGGTGAAGAAAGAAAATTGCGAATGACGAAGGTTCTCAAGAAAAACTTCACAAGAGGTCGTTTGAAAAGTATCGCTGTTTTTTTTCCTGAGATTTGTGACTTTTCGAAACTTTGTAATCTCATAAAAGTCTTCATTCTAATTGCAAGAATGTATTTTCTTTATATACTTAATCATGTAAAAGAAAACACACTTTATATCTCTGCTAAATGACTTCAATTAATGACCATTTTGGCGCGCAAGCGTCTCCGAATTTTGAGATTCACTCACTCTCTCTCCCTCTCTTCGGCGCACAAGCTCTCTCTCTCTCTCCCATCCGCTAAAATTGACTTCTGTTCGCCGATCGCAAGACACCACGGATTAGTTGGATTTAGAGATCTCAACGAGAGACACAGTTCACTGTCGACAATCCATCCTCTTGCCGAGGAATACCAAAAAGGCCGGACTGTGACGTAGTTAGGCTCCTTTTAGTCCAATTGCACTTTAGCCTTGATAATTTTCAAAAATTCGTGTGTTTTGTGTTGTTGTGACAAGAGCACAAATCTTTTGCTCATAACATAAAGAAAAGAAGATATAATCATCTACGCTGATCTTTAAAGCGCGAGTGACGTGAATTTTTCACAGCCACAGAGAGTTTTTCCTCACATCATCGCGCCAACAGCGAAATTTTCGTGTGTGTGATGAGAAGACATACCTAAAATAGTCAACAAAGATTTTACTCTTCAAAAAATAATTTAAAAAAAAAATCAGTCGCGCGACAAGAAAGGAAAAGTGTGTTCAAGAATAGTTATTATTCTCAAAAGTCTCACAACATATAAAGAGTGGATTTTCATTGTGATTCTCTCTCTCCCCGGAAAAATCAATTTGCGTGATCAATATTTGCTCACGGAGATAGAAAGAAAGTAAGTTCAAGGTGTGCAACATTATAATTACATATATATTTTGTACACATGAAAGGAAATTTTCTTCAAATATCCGGCAATACACTGCTTGTAAATCGCGTGATTATATAACGAACATCACGCAGTGGTGTGCACATCGCGACGCACTCTTTGCCGACAAAAAAAGTGTTGTAAAAATGCGGAAAATGCCATCAATCCCCATATTTTATCCCGCTTAACTCAATTCACGACAAATCCACACGACAATTTATAAAATGATGTCAGCCAAGAGGGGAAAAAAAACCACCTACTTCAATGGTATTATTACACACTTCGTCGCACTAACACGAATTTCCCACCAACCTTCTAAATCACAACATTGAGAAAAGAATGATGATATAAATAAGTATTGACGAAAATTGTTATTCTTCCTAATGTGCAATTTGGAAGCTGAAGCGCGCGCTCGAGTGCCTGCCTCACCTCTCAACATGAGGACACAGACGAAATGGGTGGGATTCTCAAGATTCCACCTAAAAATATAATTGAAAATGAGATGTGAAGAACAAGAGAAACTGGATTAATGCTAATTTGCAGTAGCCAACAATCAATTTTCACACTAAAACTCCACTCAAACTCTCCTTCTTCACCATCTTTCTCTCTTTCTCACACTCGTGTAAATGTGTGTTTCGAGATTTGTGGATGTTTATAGAACCAGAAATAATTTAAATTGAAAATTTATAAAGTGCAAACAGAGCATGAGATATTCATGAGGAAAACTTTTTAGTCATATCGACTCTGTGGCGCGCACACACAACGAAAAAATAATAATCACAGTGCGAAGAGAGATGAAATCATCATGTGCCTTCAACATCCCATCGTTTTTCTTCTTCTTCTCCACCTCTTCTTCTCTCTTTTTTCTTTAATTGCACCATCACAAAACTGACCTAGAAAATCTTTGAATTTGTATTTTAAATTCTCATCAAAAAATTTATGACTATTTCACTCATCAAATTAATCTTAGCCATTTATTGCAAAATTACACCTCTCTTTTCCCTTGAGTGATTTTTATTTTTAAAAGAAAGCCACACACTTTCAATTTCATTCGGCCCATTCCTGACATCTCAACTAATCTCTCTCTCTCTCCATCCTTTCGAGCGGACCCGCGCGCGCTCACATGTGATCATTAAAATATGACCGAAAACGGTTTGGAAGGATGGATTAAAGTCATGAAACAGCGTTATATTTTTGTACAGAGACAACACACACCACATGTTGGCTTCAATAATGAGAGAAAACATGTGAGCGAGAGTGACTTGCACGCCTCGGCGTGCGCGCGTTTGCCAAGAAAATTGGACGGAGAATCAGGAAAACGCCAGCAAAGTCCCCAAATGATCGATAGAAAAGGACACACAATGCTAATATTCAACTAATTTCTCCTCAACGCACATGAAATATGAACGAGACAAGCGGGCCACACCAAATTCTCCACTCTCTCTCTCTCTCTTGCTCTCTCGTGCGTTCTCTCATCTATCCGGCTGTTTAGTTGTTCACACGAACGGCCCTATTTTGGTCACGAGAGAGAGAACATCTTCAACACACACAGCGCGTGTGAATTTCCCAACAAAAACTTCACACATCAGCGCGAGAGAAAGAGCGCGTGAGTCTGCAAGACTTCACGAGATGCGCTCTTGTCTCGCGATCAATTCTTCCTCTCCCTCTCTTATTAATTACTAATCCAAACTATCACTCACCACCTTGGAGAGCAACACACTCAACTGATAAAAGAACCTTTTTTTAGCTCTCACCTGAGGGACGAAGATGAAGTTGATCTAGAGATAGCTTCTCTCTTTCTCTCTGGCCTCGACACACACCGAATTTCCCGAATACATTCGCTTCCTTCACTCTCGCTTTGGGACTTGAGAAATCTCCACCTTCGCGATCTCTAGAAAGATAGAATTGCGAATTAGAATCTATTTGTGAATTGTAGTTCAATAATATCAATTCCCAATGCACTTCTCTCAATTGCCACACATCTGATGAAGAGGGCAAGAGCCTAATAAACTGCGAAAGTGTCACAGGGTGTGTGAAAATGTAATTTAAACATGTTAAACAGGAGAAAAATCAGTGATAAATGCATCACATTTTCTCCCCATTCTTCTTCCTTCTTCTTCTAATCATTTTCTTACAAAAAGTCACAGTCAATTTCATATTGAGCTTCTTGAGGTGAACCCAGTTTCTCAAACATCACAGAGAGACCAAAGACATTCCCCAAGATCGTCACACTTGAAATGATCTCATCTGCACAGATGGACTTGATCTTTTTCTCATTCCTCAACTTCTGTGAGTGTCTAAAAATGACCGCGAGTGCATGAGAGCGAGTGTGTGTGATAAGGCATTCGACTGAGCGACAGTGCAATTTGCCAGAGTGTCTAATATTAGCGATAGAGTGAGCAGATGGGGTTGAAAACTTACTCATCAATTGACTATTTGTAGGTAGGAAAAAGCACAACAAAAACTGTTAAAACTGCCACAACCACCACAAAGAAGAGGCCCACAAATATCGACGAGATTTGGGACGAAGTTCTTCTAAAGCAGCTGGTAAGTGAAGAAGAAACTCAGGTGGGCGCCGCCTAATTAACGTTGAATCCTCAACACTTTTTTCATTGGCAATTCCTCAACAGTTGGAGCAAACAACCAATTACGAAGAGCGACGCAAATTGCGAGCCAGACTCAAGCAAGTGATGGCGGAAAAGGAAGGTCAGTCTGCACTTTTTTGAGCATCTCTCTTAATCAGATTTGAGAAGATGTGAAATATTTTTTTTCTCTTTTTTCTTCTCTCTCAAACACACACTCGCACTGAAAAAAAACACACACATTATTTCAAAAAATCAAATACAAAAAAATCCTGCTCAACTCTCGCTCTCTGGGATGGTGTTGGTTGGCTCACATCTCGCTCCTTTTCCTCCTATTATTTTTATGATTGGACTTATCCAGAAGACACTTTATGAGTAGTAGTTCTTTTTTTCTTTTTTGTTGAGTAATATACTATATTCGCAAGCAAGAGAGAAACACAAACGAACCAAAAAAAGCATCACAAAACTTATTTTACAAGTCAAATAAGTCTCTGCAACTGGGCTACACTCATCTTTTTTCCAGCTAGTCTTCATTACTTTTAATCCTTTTTACATTCTTTCTCTCTCTCTCTCTCTCTTTCTCATCTCTCTATCTTGTAAATCCACGAAAAAAAAACAATCTTAGCTTGTGCTGACGTCATTGCCAGCGTGAAGAGAGAATTGAAGCAGCAGGAGGAAGAGCTGGACAGTGACGAGTACGAGATTGTTGAGGAGGAAGAGGAGGAGGTTGAGGAAGAAGAAGAAGAGGAGGAGGAGGAGGAGGAAGAGGAAGTAGAGGAGGTGTCAGAAGAGGAGGTGGAACCACCAAAGGAGCCTCCGCCGGCGCCACCCGTGGCGGCAAAGGGTGAGTCACTCCTTTTACCCCTACTACAGGGACTCCTGCACAAGAAATCACCGCAACGATCTAACTCCAATCAGAGCACTAATGATGAGTGTGCTGTTCACGTGGAAGACTCCGGCACCGAAAGTGGTGAAGATTTGAAACTCCTTGCAGCTGGATTGCACAACACAATGGAGAAGAGTCACGAGGAGTGCGCCGGTCAGCAGAGTGTCGATCAGGCGCTCCTCCTTGACGTCACCACGGCCCTGGATCGTCTGGAGGCCAGCCTGCGCGATGGCAAAGACGTCAATCTCGACACACACAAGAGATCCACCCTTCTGGGATTGGTCTCACGCCTCCAGACGGGCCTCATCTCGCCCGACAAGCTGTCAGACAATGATCTCTCCTCACCCGAGATGGAGTCCACCACGCGACCCGATCCCGCTCGTAGGCCATTCGGTGGGGCGCGCTTCGCCAAGCGACGCGCCCGCCAGAATCGCCACACGGTCGGCGTGAGTCGAGAGGAGTTGGCTGACGCCCGGCGCTACATGGAGGACATGATAATGAGAGAGAGTCACTCAAATACTCCGGACGCCGCACAGTCGGACAGCATTTCCTACAATCTCCAGAAGCAGGCATCCGCGGGATCTCTGCTGGCCACAGAGCCCAGCGCCGTGCTGCATCGCCCCAAGGAGTTTGTCAAGGATCTGCCCAATCCGCGGAAGCCCAAGTTCAAGTTCATGCGCCAATCCATGAGTCTGGACGCGAGCGTGCACGAAGACTTGGCTGCCTTGCCGCCACCAAGTCGTCAGTATCATGAGAGCATATCCGTGGATTCCACTCAGCATCACGCTCGCCAATCCATCCAGGATGCCGTCTACCGTGCAAAGATCAAGAAGCTGGACGATCTGAGAGTTGAGGAGAAGAATCAGCACAATAGGCTGAAGCACTCAACGAAGAAAGCCCGAAGTCGAACGCCACCCGCATCGGCGGCTCAGAGACTCCTGGAGCTCGCAACAGCCGATGACACCAACTCTCGTCTGTCCAAGAAGATGAAAATGAAGAGAGCCAACACAATAGACATCCCCAAGCCTCTGAAGATCGCCCTGGCAGTCGGTGACAGTGACGATGCCTTGTCAGAGAGCGAATTCATTAAGAAGCCCTCCAATCAAAGCCAAGGACTGAAGACAGCAGTTCAGGTGGGAGACAAGAAAGCTCCCGGGAAGACTGTTGTGCCTGTCTTCATGCCAAAGACTGAGAATGATCACAAGTTCCTCGCCTTCATCCACAAACAGAGCACCAACAACGGGCTCTCCTGGTCAAAGCCAGACGCTTCGCCTGAGCCAAAGCAACAGAACTGGAGCAATAAGTTCGGCAACATTAAGAACACCTTCGAAAATACACCCAAACCGACCGCTTTGGGACTCAAAGTCACCTCGCCTGTGGGCGGAAACTCAGCCAGAACCTTCTGGCGATCGACAGAGGCCACAGTGGTGCACCAGAAGCCAATGTTGCCCACGCCACCGCCCAAGAAGAAGGGCGTCAGCACGAAGATAGAGAAGTTCGAATCCCCCTTGATCATCCCCAAGCCCATCCCCATGAACAAGTTCTCCCACGCGCCCATGTCGGCCTTCAAGCCACCCCCACCAAAGAGGATCATTCAACAGATTCCCCCCTTCAAGCCCATCACACCCGAAGCCATCCCGCACACAGTCCACCTGCCTCAGCCCACAAACAACACAGTCAAGCAGCTCACGAACGGCTTCATGGACACACCCGGAAAGGGCGTGAGGCAGACACCGAGCTCGCCCACGCGAAGTCTAGCCAACTACCAATTCACCCCGAAGGCAGGACACTCGCCAACCAACGTCCTGCCCTGGACAGCCAAAGTGGTGCCCGAGAAGAGAGTCCTCAACTTGGCAGCAACGAAATTCGAGGCTCCGCCACCACCCAAAGTTCCCTCCCCGCGGAAGCTCTCCCCGAGATCTCAATCCATGAAGTACAAGAGCACCCAGGAGACCTATCCAGTCGCACCTGTAGTGAATTCCAGTCGACTGTACGAGAAGCGTCCGTCACTGCCCAGCACTGACTTCAACTTCCTGGCCGACGACGAGACCTATCGCAACACGCAGATGAACGAGAACGTATTCCAGGTGAATCCCTCCTACGTGCCCAAGAGCAAATTCATGGGCAGTGTGCCAAATCTCACGGACATCAACTACACTGTCACAGACTACACACCACCTGGCTGCGTCTCCACCTGCGTTCCCCAGTGGACAGTCGACAGCCCGCGTGATTCCATCACGAATCCCAACGCTGAGCCACTCGTGCTCACCTGCGATCGGCCCGTGTACAGCCCGAAGCAGGAGACGCTCAAGATCTTCGACTATCCCAGTCCAGTGTCCGTGTCCCCGGCGAAGTCCTCAAACGACGCCACCGATGACTGGGACGAGGACCAAGACTTGACCGACTCCACAGAGTACAAGGCCGTGTCGTCCAGAGTGATGACCGGCCCTGTTTGCCACTCCGCCGTCACCGTGAGCCACAAGACCAGCCGCCTGGGCGACGAAGATCCCCACGGAAAGGGCTCCAGCGCCGCCAAGAGTCTCCACACGGTGCTCAAGGGCCTCAAGAAGCCCACGCCGCCCGAATCCCCCGCCCGCAGCCCCGTGGTGATCGTCGAGACGCCCGCCACCCCACAATCCGCCGCCCCGCCCAGTCACATCATCTACAACAACGTCTCGCGGCCACCGGCGCCACCCGAGAAGTTCGTCAGCACGTACAATCACATGTCGCGCATCAGCGCCGGTCCGAATCCACTGAGTAAGTCCGACTCCTGGCACCAGATTTGCCAGAACAGCAATAAGGCGCCTACCTCGCCAAAGCACTTTATCGCTGACTCTAATCGCGGCCTGCAGCGCGCCAAGTCCAATCACAATTTGCTGTCCGTGCCCAAGCAATTCGAGGCCGGCATAGCGCGCGACAAGGTGTCGGAGAAGCAAAAGACCGTGGCCGCGTACTTTTCCGGCCAGAAGTCACCATCGAATGTGCCCAATTTGGTGACGAGCAAGAGGATCACCGCCACCACCACAATTAACCGCGTGAAAACATCATCAAAGGCATCAATCAATAACCCCAATCCCAGTTCCGGATTGGTAAGAAGTCAAACGATGCCACACATGTCAATTGCACAAATGGCCCAAATGCACCTCCTCGATGAGGACAATGTTGAGGATGCCTTTGAAGATCTCTTCAACGCAGCCATGTCGTGAGAAAAAGAGCAAAAAACAAACACTGAGAAAGAGAAAAAAATACTCTCATGCGATGCGTGGATTATATATCATTCCAAAAAGAAACACTTGTCGAGCAAATTCACGGGCACGGAGTCAAATCCACAATGTGAAAGAATGATTTTAGAGATCGTGCTATAAAATATTGTCTACGCTTTCACGCCAATAACCACTTAGAAATACTTTATCTATATATATATATGATATTATATACACCAATTTGGGGGACATGACGGCTGTTTAACTGCTCTCTCTCAATCACTCTCGTCTCGAGTCTACTCTCTGTCTGATTATTTAAGTTTTGGTGGCTGCGCCTCTCTTCGTGCACAAGAATTTCAACCCCAAATGAACTTGCCATTATCACAAGTCCCAACATTGCTAAAATCAGTGAGTTTTCATATCAAAATATAGAAGCATATTTTGAGAATAGTTGCTTGTTTTTTCTGACTCTTTTTTTCAACTCACACTATATTGTATTTATCTCAAATCTCTTTCACAGGGTGGCACACTCCAGGTGGGTTTTAAGACTCCTTCTAAACACACATTAAGAGAAAGTGGGTTGATTTGGGACTTAAAGTCTCAATCAATTGTGTACATTATTTAATGAACTTTTCATTGTCATCAAAAGCACTGAAGAAAATCAATTGAATTAAACTCCGCCCACTCAAAAGCTCCGCCCTGTTTTATAGTAAATTTGTCACAATTCTTATGTCATTTCATCTGCAGTAGTTTGGTCAGTATAATATTATAAAATATCAGTAATTTGAACAGTAAAGTTACGAAATAATCTTGATTTTGATCAGAATTAAATGCAAAATGTAAAAATTAACAGAAAAAAGCACAATTTGATCATTTCACTGACCAAAATGCTTTTTATTCGAAAATTGGGACTCAATTTTTATCTCAAGTAGTCAAAAAACATAGCAAAAAGTGTAGAAATCATCTTGCAAAACCACCTGGAGTCACTCACCCTGTCGATCAATTAGTATTGCGCAAAAGAGAGTATCTTTTTTTGAAGAGTGTGCTATCAAAATAACAGTGTACAACCTATTTATATATACTCTATAAACTCTTTCTCACCTGTAAATCTCACGTGTCTCCAATCATGCGTCAATGCTTTGAATGTCGTCACGGAAAAGCTTGCTGCATGATTTTTCTCTTTTATCTCCTCCGCGATCGTATTCGAGTCTCTTCACCAGCCACTGATTTATCTCCTCACCAGCAGCAACATGTCCCTCATTGTGTGTCTGTGTTTGTTTTCCTTCTCGCATCATTTTTGCCACTCTGTCTCTCTGTGTTTCTGTGTGTGTTCGTCTCTAAAAATAAAATCCTGAGAAGGATGAAAAAAGACATTATCATTATTATTACTTTGCTCTGTCGAGAGAGAAAACCACAAGACCATTATTTTCTCCCAACATTAGAAAAAGCGTCTCTTCTTCTGAAAGGAAGATATAAAGTTAGAGTGTGGAAGAAGAAAAATAGACGATCTTGGCATTGGATTTCGTCGACACGATCTCAATTTTGAAGTGAAATATTTAATTCACGTGTTTCCTTCTCTTTCTCGAGAAAAACCATGCATTTTCCGCCCAATCATTCTCAATGTCATGTGCAATTAAACTAATTTTCCCATTTTCATCTCTCAGTTTCTCACTCTCTAAAATCACATTTCTCACAATGTTTTTCCTCACTTGTCTTTCAGTGTTTTTCTTGTGTGTGTTTTGATTTCTCTTATTTCACTCAATAATACCATTTGATTTCCTTTTTTTTGTGTAAAATCTATATTTTTTCTGTCCTTCACTGTGATGTTGATACATTTTCATTAAACTCTCGCCCTTTTTCTCCACCCATTTTCCTTTCAGAACTGACCGCAAAAACTGAAACCACTGAGAATGAGTCAAAAATTGACGAAGATGGAGTCATTACAACTACTAAAAGTAAGGAAGAAATTTGGGTGAAAAGGATTTGCAGTTGATAATAAAACAAATCATTTCTCTAGTCACCACAAAAACCATTCAATCGAGAGTCGCCGCCACCAATAACAAGCCAATGTCGCCGTTTGCCAAGTTCCGCCAACTGGACAAGCAACATTCAGCGGCTTCTCCACCAAAGTGAGTTGAAATCACACACTTTTATTCGCTCTTCTAAAACAATTAGCTTGAAGGATTCTTTATTTTCCAACTCTAAATGAATGAAATTCATTCATTCATTCAGAGTGGAAACAATCTTGAGTAATTTAGTTTATCATCAAAAAAGCATTAGTTAGTGATTTTTCACCCTCATTTAGAGACCAAAGAATTCATCCCTATTCGTTTCTCTCTCTCTTTATCTCCGTATTATTTTGGACTTTTTAGTGACTAACCTTTGAGATTTCTCCCTTTTTTTGTATCTCGCATCATCATTGCCATTCCACCCAATTCATTTAGCGTGTAGAATGTATTTCACACCCACCTTTTATTCTTCTTAGGCCAAACCGACGAGTGTCATTGTAAACGATGAACTTGAATTTATTCAATTTGACAAAATGTGAAAATTACTCTCAAATTACTTATTAAAGCAAGACAACTTTATGGATCCATTCATGTGCTTCATTGACTTCATTTTCATTAGCAACAATTGTATTCTTTTTAGCAAACTTCCTTATTGGATTTGGTAAATCGATGAGTGAATTTAAAACTATGAAAAATCAATAGTAAAAAATCTGATTTATTTTTTAAATTGCAGTTAAATTGAAACTACAACTAATTTTCCTAAAATATTTGTTCCTAAAAGACTTAAAATGAGAAAATATGGCATATTTTTTTTAATTTCCTAACTTCAGAAGTTTGAAAAAATTAATGAAAATTAAAAAAAAAAAGATTTTCTTACAACTTTTATGGATAAAATGCACTCAAAATCTATTAAAAATCGATTTTTGAAGACAATATTTTCTGTTTATATTTTAATTTTGCCATATTTTAGCCAAAATCTACTGAAACATTCACAAAATAATTATTATATAGGGCAATAATTAATATTTAATCAAACCATTAGCGAGTGTTTGAGTTACAATTCGGCAAATTTCGTAGAGAAATAATGGTAAATTTTCAATTCACTCTTTTCATAGTTTTCTCTTCACTCAAAATTCCATTGAATGCTGAAGACGAATTAAGATTCTTAGTAATTCGTCAAAAGTAATATAATAATTACATATGGAAATTGTGAGTTTTTGGCAATCTCAGATTAAAGAATCCTCCGCAAACTCTCTCAAGCAAATTCATTCACTCATAAATTTACATGACACTCGTGCGGAAGGAGATGAGATAAACTGCAAGTAACTTTATTAATAATCTTAGCTCCCCATTAACACCTTCAACTCCCAAGACACCCGGGGGATCTGCAGCCCCAATTTTTAAGTTTACCGACCCAGCGTTAGGTGCACGTGCGGCCACTGTTAAGGAACAGCTACTGCAGTGGTGTCAGATTAAGACAAAGGAATACGAGGTACAGCAAAGCAAAAAAGCGCAAACAACACCATCAGCCACACTTAACTGGCCGTTTGATTACTCGTTTCATTGCATTCCACTTCCCTGTTTTATTTTATACTGATTTTATTGTTGTTCTATTTTCGATTCTCTCCTAGATTTTTGTGGTTTTTTTTTATACTCTCGTCTTGTGTACAGTGACAAAATAAAATTGATATGATTTGGTGTTGCTGCATCTTAAAGACAATCCAAAAAGCAAAAACATCTTCCCTGTTTGTCCCCCAGTTAATTGTGTCCTTCTTCTCCCTCTCTCTCTTATATGTTAAAATGTATTTCAGCACAACTAAAGCCTACATTATGAAGTAGAAAAGCATGGCTTCCTTAATAAAATCCACACACAGACTTTAGCACACTTTTGCATTGTGTTTTTCTGCATGATTTAAAGAGATTAAATCGACAGGTTCTTCGAAAACTATCAAAAAACGCTCTTTGAGACTTGACGTTTTATGTATTTTTGGATAGATCTTGATGTCTTTTAAAATAAAAGAAATCAGATTTATCATAAAAAAGTTCGTGTGTCGAAAAATTTTCTGTGTTGCGCTCGACTTTTCGAATTAGAGGCAAAATTCATACAAATTGATATTTTTTCTGCGTCATTATAGTTTATTTTGCAACCTCAAAATCACTTTCAATCATTTGCATTGATTGAACATTAAATTGGGCATAATTTGTGTAGTGAAAAATATCAAATATCAGTGAAATATCATGTGAAAATTTTCTCTTTACACATATTCATAAAAAAGCAATAAGAAAACTATTAAAATTCAACTTTTTCCTTTATATCGTGAGTTTGTCTATCAATTTTCCACAATTTAGTTAATATTTCAATAATTAATCAATAAAATCACCTGAAATGTTATGAAAAATAATTGGAATTGACCAATATTATCAATTTAATTGAAAATTCAAAGCAATTTCAAACCTTAAACTGCTAGTTTTGCTAGTTTTCGAGGCACTTGTCGAAATGTTTTAATTAATTCATTCTTTCAATGAATTTTTTCTCTGCACTTCAAGACATTTAATTGACCAAAAATATCATTCCAGAACGTTCAAATAACCAACTTCTCAACGAGCTGGTGTGATGGATTAGCATTCTGTGCACTCATTCATCACTTCCTGCCGGATGCATTCGATTACAGTGCCCTGACACCTCAGCAGCGCAAGCACAACTTCACACTCGCCTTCCGAGTGGCTGAGTGAGTTTGAGAAAAATTCCTCAAAGCCAGCGAAACCCCAATTGAAAATCCACCCCCAAATCTTTTGGTCATTTCAGTGAAAAAGCCGGGATCGCGCCACTTCTCGATGTCGAGGACATGGTAATGATGCGAAAGCCCGACTGGAAGTGCGTCTTCACCTACGTCCAGTCAATCTATCGACGCTTCCGGAATGCTGAATGATCCGAAATAAGTCATTGTTAGTCAAGAGAGTCTCTTAGAAGAGTTGCATTGTTGCTAAAGCCATTTGTTATCAGCTCGTGTTTGTTTTCTATCTATTTATCTCACCACTTTTTTTCCACAAACTCTTATCTTTTTAAAGTGTCTCCCCAAGAATATATTATAAAATAAAAACAAGAATATATTGTAATATTTTCTAACGTAGAATTACCAACAAATAAACACACACACATTGTTTATAATATAAAATGATGAAAAAATATCGTGATGAAGAGAAAATTTGTATGAAAAAACTTGCGCATAAATTTGTATTTATTAGATGTTTAGTCAATCTCTACTTGAGGATTCTTTTTTCTACCAACTATTTTATATTGTGGTGCAATTAATATTTAAAAGAAAGAGAGAGATAAAAAAAAATCAATATTATAATCTATGAAACTCTAACTCTTCCTAACTCCCAAAATCACAAATGGATATTATTCAAAACTGATAAAGTGTAATTTCTGTGTTTCACAAAACTCTTTTCTTTCTTTCTTTCTATTTTTTTTTTTGTTAATACAACAACTCTTTCGCCAGCAAATGTGCGGTGAAAAGAGAAGGAAAAAAATAAAGTGTAATAATTTAACCAAATAATTTTTACAAAATAAAAATGCTTCGACATAATCCAAGTTAGTTGTGATATTTTTGCCTTTCGTGACTTTTCTGGCATGAGAAAATATGTCTCATCAAAATTCTCAGCGAGAAAGTGAGAAAAACTGTCGCATTTGCTGGCAAAATGAAGGAACATTTGTGGATCTTGGTTGTGAGTGTCGAGGAAATTTGAAGTACGCTCATGAGCAATGCATCAAAATGTGGTGCAAAAATTACCTTCGAAGCAACATTTGTGAGATTTGCCAACACAGATTTTCCCTCAAATTGTGGTAAGAATTAACTGAGTGAGAAATCTTCTTGACTCACCCTCTAAATCCTGCTCTTCCTCACTTCAGTGTCAACATCAAATTTGGCAGAATCCTCTTTTTCACCGTCTTTCACGCACTCTTGATGACTTCAATTGTCTGCAATCACGAAAGGGTCAGAGATTAGCAACGAAAATTCCAATGATCTATAGGAAATAAGATCCTTGCAATTTCTCACTTTTAGATTGATGTTGTAATTAGAAAATTCATTGTGGAAAACTTCTCTGCGCCTCTCCAAATCAGACTCTCTAAGCTCTTCATCTTTCATGGTGAGTATTTCAAATTCAAATTCACTGGATAATTCATCTCTAGGGTCCTTAAATCTACATTTTAGGCTACTTTCTCTACTGCTATTGCAAATGGTTTCGCAATTCTGTCCCGTCCTTCGTGGAATTGGACGAATTGGAGCAGTAAAGAAGAACTTGAGGGAGGATTTAAATAGCCTCATCGTTCTGATAAGAAGAACTGACCTCGCAAACTGAGGTGTTGCCCTGGAATAAGAAGATCAGAGTCAGTAAATCAGACAGCGAGATAAGATTTCACATACTTCTTCCTCCTCAACTGTGGCAACTGTTTCAGTTGACATCCTGCGCAAAGGCGTGATCGGCGAACCAGAATTGAAAGTCGTCTTCAGGATCGATTCTGGCGATCCGATGCTTCTCATCCAATTCATGACAGTGTCAGAAGAATTGAAGGAATCGTCAGAGTTCGGCGATTGTGGCAAAAAGGAGTCATTCTGATTTTCCTGCCTGGCACGGACTTGCTCCTTGAGTTCCTCGATATGCTTATCGAGTTTATCCTGATCCTTCAAAGTCTGCTTAAGTTCATCACAGCGCTGAACGATGTTATCTCGCTCCTCCTGCAATTTCTGCACATTCTTCTCCTTTTCCGCCAACAAGTCGTTCAGTCGCTCATTCTTCTCACACAATTCCGCCTTCGTGTCCAAATACATCTGCTCCTTCTCGTCCAGCAACTTTTGCAGTTCGTCATTCTTGATCTTCTTCTGCTTAAACTCATCAATTCCCTCAACGTACTTTGAGCAGTGCGCTTGCTGGCAAGCGTAGAAGTCATCGATGCGCTTCTTCTCACTCGAGATGGCGTCAGAACTCTCCTTCATTTCCTGCTTCAGTTGATCAACCTTCTCCTCTTCGTTCTCCATTTTCGTCTGCAACTCGTCAATTTCTGCGATCTTTGCAGCTATTTTGTCCCTCAATTCACGCGATTCCTGATCCTTTGACTGGTACACGTTCCTCATGTTCATCGCCTCTTCCCTCAGCGAAGTCAATTCTCGCTCGAGTTCCGGAATTTTGGCAACTCCAGCAGCGTAGAATGCGTACTTCTTCACAAGCCGCTCCTTCACTCGCTCCACCCTTTCCTCCAGCTGCTTCACGTCGGCAAAATTCATCTTCAGCGCCTGGTCAGCTGTCTTAATCCTGATCTCGCACGCTGTGGCTTTGGCCATCTTCCGCTCTCTGTCGCGCAATTCAGCCATTTTTGCGTCATTGCAGCGCTTCGTGAGTTGCACTTCAGACTGAACCTTGCTGTGTAACTCGCAGATATTCGTGACACTTCAAAACACACAAACTAATTAGTTATGCTGAGAGGACAGAAGGACACTCAAACTTACTAGCTCTCATATATCTTCTGCCGCTTCTCAATTTCCCTAATCGTCAGCATAAGCTTCGTGTTCAGAGCTGCCTGCTCTAGGAACACCTTGTACTTCTTCTCTTTCTCAGCAGTCACCCTTGCCGCCTCTGCTCGCACTTCAGCCAGCTCCGCGTCAAGATCCGGGAAGATGTCTCGCAGCTGTTGCGTCATTTGCGAAGGATCCATTTTTTCAGCACTGCGCAAAAAAAGCACGCCATATTGAAAAGATAGCGTCAAGATATTTCAAGCAAAATATCACTCTTATTTCAGCTGAAAGCGTGCATCCCTCACCTGAAAGCTCTGCTTGAGTCCCCAAAAATGTGTCTTAAGGTGTTTATCAGCTGATTCACGCTATTTTCACTGGGGAAATTCAAGTTTTCCTGGAGAACAATTCAACTCACCATCAGCAAAAGTCCTAACGAAGCGCCATCTGAGGACGGTTCCCGACCAACTCTTGTCGATGTGAAGATAGTCAAACGAGGATCAATTTCTCGAGTCGACGGATTTATTCTCGAATTTATTCATTTACCAATTAAAATGTACATTTATTTACAGTAAAAATCATTAAGCATTAATTGGTTATTGCTGTTGGACTCCTCAGTCGCGCGGCTGAGGCGGAACAGTCGTCTCCTGAGGCGTGGGCGAGTCTTCCCGGAAACTCGCCATCACTCATTGTACATGCCATCCACGAGGTAGTCCATCCGACGGTAGTGGCGCGTGAGCCAGTAATCCCTGAAGCGGCGCACGACCACGGTGGCGAGTCCCAGAATCATGGGAATGGCGAAGATCAGCACCACAATGGGAACGATGTAGTCTCGATGATTCACGGGCAGCTCCAGGATGTTCTCCTGGGACAGCTGCGCCACGGGCTCCTCCACGTCCAGCCGGCCGCCGGACTGGGGGTGTTGTGACTTTGCCGGAACCTCCAGCAAGCTCGGATCGTCTTGCACGCTCACCGTGAGGCTGGGCTTCTTTGGCCTGGGCGTCGTCGTTGTGGAGGCGGTTGTCTTCACAGTGGTTGAGGTGGTGGTGGTGGTGGAGTTGAGGACCTTCGGGGCCTCAGAAGTGGCATTGGCGGGCAGCGTGACGTTGAGAACTGGCGTGGAGACTGTCGTGTTGGCTCTCGGAGGCTCTCCCAGCTCCTTCTTCACGCTCTTCTGCACCGGCAGCTTCTCCTGGAAGCTTCCTCCCTCCATGTACACCGTCTTGTCATCGCTGGTCTTGGTCAGCTTCGTGCTGTTGCCCGGAGTGTTGATCTGGCCATCCGCCAAGACGCTGGACAAGCCGAGAAGGGCGACACAAAGAACTGCCCACGCATGCATTTGAGCGCGAGATAACGGAGAAAATGATAAGGAATAAACCGAAATAAATAGAAGAAAGTCTCTGTGACGACGCAGAAGAATCGCGATTACATTTTTCTCTTCGCACGGGTGAGAATTTTTGCAAAATATTACCCAAATGCGCCCAAAAAGCTCCCAAGAATGGAATTAGAGGCGAAATCCGACGCGTAGAAAACATGAATGCAATTGAGGTATTAAACGACGCGTGTAGAAAATTTTACACAGGGAGAAGTAATGAATCAAACTGGACACATGTCAGAAATGTTTTAGAATTGCTAAAATATAGTATGAAATTATTTTTCTATGAGTATTTCCAAAAATCTGCAGTTTCCAATTGTGAATGATTTTATTTTCTACTTCCGTAATGTAGTAAATGTTTGAAAGACTGGCACGCCGCCTTGGCGCACTGCCATGCCAGTGGATTCGAGCAGTTTTCCACCGCCGCCGCCTGAAGCGCCGCCAAGTGACATCGAGGATTTCAAAATCAAAGAACATGGCGGATGTTTTTTGAATATTCGTATTTCACGTGAAATTTTCCTTATTTTCATATCAAATAGAACGTGTAATCGCTGGAAAAACACCATCGGCGCAATCTACGACAGTCCAGCTTCAGCAGCAGAGTGATTTTCCGGGAGCAAGAGCTGCTGGGACAGGAGAAATCTGCAATTGAGTAAACAAGTAAGTGGAGCGATAATTTTCGTTTGCTCAAGAAGGCGAAATGTCAGAGCGAGAAAAATGAAAAAATCGCTGGGAAAATGATTGAAACTGGCTTATAAGATCTTTCTTGTGTACTTAAGGGTGATTCTGTGGGGCCTGAGTGGTGGCTTTTCGGGATTCTGATGAGTTTTCCTTGTGGACTGTCAGGGAATAGTGACGCAGAATTTTTCCATATTTCGTGCCTTTTCTGCGCGTGGAACCCTCCGGGGGCTCTTGATCTTGACTCATTGTCGTCCGTGGGGCTGCTTTTGGGGGCTTTGCATGTTTTCTGGGTGGATTTTGATGGTGAAAAACATCCCATAACCTCACTTTGATTTGAATTCAAAATTTGAAGTGTGTTTCCGGACACTGAGATTTTCTCGTCTTTGAAGGTCGCTGGGAATGCCCCGGGAGAGCTTGAAGGCGCGCCAGGAGGTGCGCGAGGATGACATGGAGGTGGACGACGATGGGGAGCCGCCAGCGTTTGGGCCTGCCGCTCTGGGGCTTCATCGCGTGGGCACAAAGCTGCCTCCAAAACCGGCGCCCACGCAACCCATCCAGGTGTTGAACGCCCGCGGCATGCCGGCGCGCATCCGGAAGAAGAACCGCCTGTTCTACGACGACAACATTATCAACGACAAACCACCGCCGAAGCAATCCCCGCGGAAGCTGGGCAAGCGCTCGCCCATTAAGGTCCTCCAGACGCCCAGTCGCATCATGAAGCGCGGCCGGATGAAGCTGAAGTTCCCCGGGAAGCAGAGTCCATCGTCCGGCAAGGTGCTGGGGCGCATGCGGGGACAGATGGGCCGCCCGGTGACCACGCCGTCGCCCACGCAGCCGCTGGACAAGAAGCTGGGCCAGCGCGTCGGCATGCGCCTGCGGAACCTCCTGAAGCTGCCCAAGGCGCACAAGTTCGTGAGCTACGAGTGGTTCTACAGCACCATCGACAAGCCGCTGTTCGAGGGGCCAAACGACTTCGAGATTTGCCTGAAAGAAGCCTTTCCGCAGCTCATCACGCGCAGCATGTCGCGCGTGGAGTGGACGCGCATCCGGCGGATGATGGGCAAGCCGCGGCGCTGCTCGCAGGCCTTCTTCGATGAGGAGCGACGTGAGTTGGAGCGCAAGCGGCAGAAGCTGCGCCTCCTGCAGACGCGTAAGTTGGGCGACGTGTCGTTCGTGAAGGATCTGCCCAGCAGCGTGCCACTCACGCTGCCCGTGGGCACGACTGTCACGGCGAGACTGCGCAAGCCCCAGGACGGTCTGTTTACGGGAGTCGTGGCTGCTGTGGATTCGCACCATCACACGTATCGCATCACTTTTGAGCGCCAAGGCTTGGGAACGCAAACAATTCCGGACTATGAGCTGATTTCCAACTCGACACAGGTGAGAATTTGCAATTGTCTGGGCTTTTGCTGAAGAAATGGAGTGAAAAACAAACATTCCCTCCTCCAGGATACCATTCCGCTGAGCAGTTTGACGAAGAACTTCCGCCAGAAGGCAAACCTGCCGAAGAATTTCGTGGCTTCGCCGCTGAATTGTCTCACGACACTCGGGAAGCACGATCCGATGCTGAGTGTGGATGTGTTCAGTCACCTGAAGAAGCCGCAGAGCCTCAAATATCCCACGGACAAGCAAGTGGGCGGTTATCCGGTGAAGCTGCTGGAGCTGATGGTGCGCACGAAGAAACTGCTGGCGGCCAAGCAGGTGAAGCTGAATCGGCTGCAGAGCCTCAACTCCGAGGTGGCGATTCACAAGAGCTACGATGAGCCAATCACGGAGGAGACGCAGAAGATCTATGCGAATCTGGTGGTGTCGCTGGAGAAGATCAATCGCAATGTGCAGGCCAACTTGAATCAGATTCAGACGTTCACGCCGCAGATCTCGAAGCAGCCACAGATCCTGTCCATGCTCACGCCGAGCTATCTGCGCGAGAAGTGCCGCGAGATGGGCAATCAGACGGTGCAGACGAACAACCACGGCGGAATGGTGCGGGATCCGGAGGTGGTGCGCCTGATCTCGGACATGGCGACCATCATGTGGGTGGCCTCGAGTCTGTCCAACACGGAGCAGTACACGAATGTGCTGCGCGTGCTGGAGGGATGTCTGGAGGAGACAAAGAACCGCCTGAGTCCGGAGAATGTGGATGTGTTCCACAAGTGTGTCATGGTGCACATCCACCAGATCAAGATGGGCCTCGGGCAGCTCGTGGGTCCGTCGTCATCGTCTGCCCAGAGTACGCCCGCCGCGCCCACGAGGATTGTGAAGCGGGAGCCCGAGGAGGGATCATCGCGAGCGCCGATGGTGAAGATCTTCATCGAGTCGAAGTGAGAAGTGCAAGCAAAGGCTCTTGAGATTTGCAAAAAATAGGCTAGTTTCTGCGTTCTTTCTAACATTAATTTCCCCTGATCTTTCGAGTATGACTTGTCAGTGCTTTGTTTAATTTTTATGGAGTAAGAGGAAGAAAAATTGAAGTGGAAAATGATAACTTGACAAGGAATTTCATCTAAATTTGCACTTACTGTCATTGTACAATTGTACGTTAAGTCTTTTCAGTTAGAGGAATTGTAATATATTCCCGAGAGCAGCGTGAAGAATCAGTTGCAAATTTAATGTATTGGAGTTTATATTAAAATAGATGGAAGAGAAATACTCAAATGTTTATTATTGCAGATTTTTGGATGTCTTTCTTGGTTGTTTTCTTAATCCTCACAGAAAAAGCGTCGGAAATTTGCTAATTCTCAACCATCGATGAGTAAAAATTCTCCCTTTTAAATACACAGCAATAAATCAGTGTTTAAATGCATTGTGTGTGTGTCGAAAAGGCTCCAAATCGAATATTAGGGAAAGCTGGAACAATATGAAATGGAAAGTTCCATCTAAGAAGATTGAGAATAAAATACATTTTAATTGCCCTTCTAAAGCCAGTTTTACAATCTTCTTTTCTAATGATTACTTTGCCTAAACCGCCTAAATACGTTTTAATGACATTTTTGTCCAAAATGCCTAACGAAAATCGAGATTTTCTACCTGTTCAAGGGTATAAAAGGGAACTCAGGATTCAGAGTCCTCAGTTCAGTTTAGCACTTCATTGCGAGTACATCTCAAGACAGTAGAACTTTCTTTCTTCGAAGACATGTTTTATGAACAAGTGTCAAAACCACCAAGGATAGTGACAGACCAGAATGGCAAGAATGTCCTGCTTTACCGAGGTTACACGTACCAAAAGGATAGCAAACTGAGGGACGTTACGTTCTGGAAGTGCACGCAGTTCAAATCTAACAATTGCAAGGTTCGTGCTGACACCTGGATTAACACCGAGGGAAACGACGAAGAGTCCTTGATGGTGCTCGTCAGAGATTGTCACTTACATGCGCCGCCTGATACCTCCAACATGCTCCAGGACGACATTGTGAATGATGTGAAGGAGAAAGCCAAGAGAGGTCAGGAGTCTTCAGGAGTGATGAAGACGATTCAACGTGAGAGACGAAGGCAAAAGGATTCTGCGACCAAATCTGCCACCGAATGTGAGGAGATGTACGACCTGATCGTCGAGGAAGACGCTGCGGAAGACACTGAAGATTTTCTGATGGTTTTCGAAGATGCTGATCAGGCCGCCGTTCGTCAGACAACCGGACGCGACGACGACACGAAATGCAACGATTTATTTTCGCCGGCTGAATTACTGAACATCTCCAAGGAGCTGATGACCGGACTCAAGTTCTGCCGTTCCAAGAATGATCAACTAAACGTCATTTTCTCCATCACTCTCAAATATCTTGATAACTAAATATCACCTTTGTAATTTTGTCTGCATAAAGAGAAATATCAAGAGAAAAACCTAAATTCAATGTTTCAATCGCTCTTCACTGTCTTTTGGTTCTCACCTTATTTTTTTCTTAAAAGAATCTGTCCAAATCTGCCTCGCTTTCCGCTAAATTCTTGTCTTCTTTCCTGTCGTGATTCTATTTTACTATTTCAATTGGAATATAATTGAAACCAATATCTCGAATGGGGTTATTCGGGAAATGTGCAGCGACAACTTATTATTTCACATTTATAATTAAATTATCCACTAATGTGAAAATAAAATATGTCGCCTTTGAGGAGTGAACATATTTTATTGCCAGCTTGGCAGAGGAACTGCGCCTTGTGCAGATGTTGGATGGTGTCACAGACTCTGCACATAATTAAGGTAAATAGATTTAGTAATCAATTCCAAATGTTTCACTCCCAGAAGCACTCGAAGCCACGCAGTCTTGTAGAATTACGCTGATGATTGAGGACGAGTGCGCCATAGAGTGGAAGAGAAATGCGGCCTTAAGTGTTGGGGCGGTTTGTGAAAAGAGTGCAGCTGTGGAAGGGAAGTAGAAAAAGTGTGTTTTATTTTCGGAGGAAAAATCTGTAACAAATTATCTAACATCACGAATATGAATTTGCCATTGTGCAGCGCGATTGTCATAATATTTCACGTGGAATGCGAGGGTGTGGGTGGCGAAGGGAGGAGTGTGTTTGGACTATTCATGTCATCCGATGATAAATAATGGCATAATAAGGCACGATGAGGAGGCGATTAGCAAATTCAATGCACCTCTCGAGTGGCATCATGTTTCAGGTGGTGAATTGGCGAGGAAATTTCTGTGCTCTATCAGGATTTGGGATCTCTGCTGTCGAATCTCACGCCAAGGGGGAGATATTATATGACCAGGACTAGTGTACAGTTTATCCGTTCATTTTTCTGGTTTATTAATGAAAATATATCGAAAAGTGTGATTTTAATAAGAGGAAAATCATTTGCGATTTCAGATCATTTTATTTTGATTTCGCGTGATTTTTATTTAAATTTTGATACATTTCCGTCTTTTCTTGATTATGGCAAAAAATACTTAAATATTTGATTATTGTATGAATTTTAATGAATTTTTGACCATTAACTTTGTGAATATTCAATCATTTTTTGATTATTTTGCAATTTCACTTGGGAAAATAATAATTTTATGATTATTTTATTCATATATTTAACTATTTGATTGAGTCCATTAATTTTCCTCCAAAATAACCTTGTGACTTGCCCCGTGAGAATGGTGTACAAACTGCGGGCATACGACATTTCCCTTGTCTCAAGCAAATATGTGCTCTATCTCGCTCTGAATCCGACCACGCTATTGACTGTTTGGTCGGGCAGTGCTTCTGCATAAGCACACGAAGTGGGCGAGAGGAGAATCTCGGCTGGAGGGTTAATGGAAAAGGGATAATGAGATAAAAGTGGGCGACTGAGGCAACAAGGGTGCAAGGATTGCCTAATTTCATTTCACGCTTCCGCCGCTCTTCAGTGGCTTCGAGGGTGGCTGGAAAATTCCGGGCGGATGTGACAAATGAATTAGAAATGTGGTGGAATGAGGGGAATTAACCGGCTCACTCTCCCAGTCGCTTGAAGCCTGGCCAGAAGTGTTCCAGAGATGGTGATCGCACGCCACACGAAAAGCCAAAGATCCGCGCAATAATCCACATAATCCGAGCGCTTATTGCTCAAAGATAAGTTCATGCGAGGGGAAAATGAGTGTTTTTCTGGTGTAACAAATCGGTTAAAGGATCGATTGTTGTATTTAGCGCTGTCAGTGACAATTACATAAACTTCCAATGTTCAGAAGATGTTGCATTCTGAGGAAAATACAGTAAGAATTTTATGGTTAAATGTGGAATAAATGAAGCAATTTGAGCGACACATTTATAAACCCTTTTTGATTGCATAGCAAAGTGGAACTATTTCTGAAACAAAACGACATTCTCGCAAGATGAATGACGGAAGGTGAATCCCACAAGATAATTCAATTGATATTTATTATACGGGATGATCGTAAAATTTCCCATTTGGATGACAAAGTGAATCTGGCGTCGTCGTTGCCTTATTTGAAAAGCCCATGGAATGAGGAGTGCTGAAAATAGACTAAATGTCGCGCACGAGAGAGAGAAAAAGAGAGTTGCAAGAAGTCTAAGTGAATCCACGTGTGGCACAGAGATTTGTGATTAAATAATAAGACGTACAAATTATCTTCTTTTTGCACACAATTGGAGTACATTTTTGTATTAATGTTTAGACTCGTTTCACTTGAACACCCTCGAGAAGTCAAGACGCAACGCCATGTTTCTCGTTTGGGGGTGAAATTCCCCCCTCAAGACAGTGATATATTGCATGTGTCCAGAGCCGAAGACCCTCTTTTTATTGATTTTTTCGCCCTGCGCAATCCATCGTCGTTTCGCGCTCCGCCAGTTTGTTGTGCCGGCGAAGTGAGATGGCTAGAGAGCTGAGGAGGAGGGACTTTGTGTTTGAATCCGCCTCCGGTTCTTCCGCGGCAATTCCGGAGGGAAAGAGAGCGTGATATTTGCGCGCGACTTCAACAAATAAATTCTCCCTGCGAAACACTCAATATTCCTCTCGAAGTATCGCGGGGAATCTTCTCTTTTCACCTGAATCTCGCACTCTCTCTCGCCGGATGGCGAGCATTCCCATGTTCTGTGCCGGAATGAGTGTCTCTCCCGTGTCTTCGCGATGCTCCGCTGGCAATAAATCCGATTGAGGTCTCTGCAGTTCTGTGACGAGAATCGCACTGTGAGTTCAATCCCGGCGCGCGAAATCCGCGAACAAGAGTGAAATGCTCACATGCTGATTGTCCAGTGGATTGTGAAATGTTGGTTCCTCCGGACATGGTCGCGCCGCAGTCCAAGCTGGTCTACCAGATCAATAAGTTCTGCACGGAGCGCGTGCAGTGCCGAATGGTGCAGATGAGCAAGACCATCTTCGAGATCTGCAAGATTGTCCAGGACATTCTGCGCGAGGTGGAAATCCAAGAGCCCAGATTCATATCAAGTCTGGCCGAATACAATGGAAGGTGAGCTCTAATCCAAACCAATTGACTAAGAAATTGATGCAATTGCAAAGTAGATATTTGGGTCATTATTTCCTTCCTTTTGCTGATTTGAAGACAATTTAACACTGGCAAATATAACACAACATTTCATTCATGTACAATTAATAAGGTATTCTTCATGAAAAGCCAAATTTTTCACTTGCTGAACAGAATTAGAATTAATAATAATAATGATAAATTATTGCAAAACATAGTGAAGAATAATATCCTTCATTTTCATCCAATGTGAGACCCAAATTCAATGCAAATAAAACTCTTACATCCGTTTACAACCTTTCTATCAATCGATTAATGTTATTAATCGCGAACTGGAAAAAGCATCCATTCATCTCCAGTCTTCTCTCCGCAGGTACGAAGGCCTGGAAGTCATTTCGCCGTATGAGTTCGAAATAGTGCTGTATCTCAATCAGATGGGCGTCTTCAACTTCGTGGACGATGGCACACTTCCGGGATGCGCCGTGCTCAAGCTGAGCGACGGCCGCAAGCGATCCATGTCACTCTGGGTGGAATTCATCACAGCCTCCGGCTACTTGTCGTCCAGGAAGATCCGCTCGCGCTTCCAGACACTCGTGGCTCAGGCATGCGAGAAGTCTTGCTACAGGGACATCGTGAGACTCTTGGCGGACGTGTCGGAGGTGAAGCTGAAGATCAGAGAGCAGTTCATCGTGCAGATCACGCCAGCATTCAAGTGTTCAGGCATTTGGCCCAGATCTGCCTCGCACTGGCCACTGCCCGGCATTCCCTGGCCACATCCCAACATCGTGGCCGAGGTGAAGACGGAGGGATTTGATTTGCTCTCCAAGGAGAGCATCGCCCTGCAGGGGAAGAACAATGCCATGGAGGGCGACGCGTGGGTGATGAACTTCCGCGAGGCTGAGAATAGATTGTTGTACGGCGGATGTCGCAAGAAGTGCTTGAGCATCCTCAAGACACTCCGAGACAGACACTTGGACCTGCCCGGAGATCCGCTCACGTCTTATCACATGAAGACGCTTTTGCTGTACGAGTGCGAAAAACACCCGCAGGAAATTGAGTGGGACGAAACGTGCTTGGCGGACAGGATCAATGGGATCTTCCTGCAGCTGATCTCGTGTCTGCAGTGCCGCCGATGTCCGCACTACTTCCTGCCCGGCCTCAATCTCTTCAAAGGGAAATCCACGGCGTCCATGGAGAATGCCGCCAAGGAGATTTGGAAGCTGCTGCGGGAAATGTTGACGAATAGTTACGCATTCGAGAAGCTTTGAGGGAAATTGTACAACAGTTTCTAGCGAATTTGTAAAAGTGATATATTAAATTTGTCAGTCTTTGTTATCAATCGCAAACATTTCTCTTGCCATGAGATTCTCGACATATGAAGAGCCCTGCGGAAAATTGAGTAGTTCCAATGAATTAACATCGACACAACAGTCAAGAGCTATTTAATATGCCGGTGAGGTAATCAATAAACACATGTCAAGAGACATGCCTCAAGAACACGCCAAATGTGAAGTCCGAAGTTCCATCCATGAGAGCAGCACTTAGCCAGATGAATTAACATTGCGCGGCTCTCGAGGAAAAAGCATTTCAGGCAATTCTTCCGCCGGAATCACGCGCGAGAAAGAGAAGGAGAAACACAAACGAGATTGTCTCATGTTAAATTGATTTATAGGCACTTATTTGTATCATAAGAAATTGAATTAATTTCGCAAATTATTTCACAGCGCCTTTTTATCGCATTAACGCGATGAGGGAGAATAATTATGCTCATGAGCCTTATGAGAAATTATATCGAAAAATATCCTTCTTCAGATTGATAACTCATCACAAAGTGGCGCGTGTATTTCGGGACAGTATTTATGGACTTCTTTCACAAAGAGTGTGTGACAAGAGGAGAAAATGCTATAAAATGATGCAAAGGCGGCTGAAACAGTGATTAAATCTTCACTTAATGGACTGCAAATGGACGCAAGTTGAAAAAAGGCGAAAGTGGGCGGAAAAGTTAAGAATAAATTGCTCTATATTGACTTTAATTGTGTGTAGAAATATTTCTTCCAGATAAATTTGCTTTAAACGCGATAATGCACATGAAAGGACTTTGTGGAGATTTATTTATTATTCAGTATCGGAATTGAGAAATCGCATTCAATTCTTCACATTCGCAAATTCACACAGAAAAAGTTGGAATATGTCAATGAGAACAGCAAATAAAACCACTGGATTTTCCATTGCATTTTCATTTTCTTTATATTTGTATGCCATTGAGTGTTTTTTTTTTGTATTTCTGAATCACTTTGAATCATTATTATTAATTCTTATACATACAAACATAGATTTATGTACAAAAGAGAATGGAAAGTTCTAAATATCGAATATAATGTCATGTCTTTACTTTTTTTGCATTACAATTCTTCTGCACAAGTTTTGCAACACATAATCATAATATATACTTTATTTCTTCAAGATTTCTTGCTCTTCGTCAGATCGCGCGGGAGGGAAAAGTAGGAAAAAGTCGCTAGATAGGCATATAAATATCTTCCTAATCACAGAATAAATACGCGAGAATATTTTTATAAAATAGATAAAAGGTAGTAATTTATAAGTTTTTCTCATAGTCAGACAGGGTTATTCACGCAATTTGCCAAGCATCGCGATCATTCAATGCTTCAGCACTTCACTATTCGCAAATTCAATGAATATCTCTATGTGGGAGTTGAAGAATATTAATTGGGACTGACTTATTGAAACTCTACATTGGATTCATCATGCAATATTTACACCAAGTGAAAATGATTTATTACCTCTATTACGCAAGTCTTTAATTTATTCAGAATAGAAAGAAGCATTTTTCATCAAATTAATTCGTGTATTAATAGAATTTTGTCTTGTGAAAAGCATGATCAACTGAATTGTTCCGCTATCTTTAAAATCCTCCGTGATTTCTTCAAAGGTTTTCTTCTCTCTCTATATTAGCATTCCTAAGCAAATATTATATTGCCGTGTGGTTTTGCAAATGGATTTCCTCAATAACTAAATCAAACGAGAAATTTCAACATTTTCGTCACAAACATTTAATACGAGCGAGAGAGAGAGAAAAAAAATTGTCGACTGATTGATTTACTTTTCGACGCAAAAAAATGCGATTGGAATGTTTCGTGACTGTTTGTTGGCTATAAAAATTATATTCTTCTTCCGATTGTGTTATTCTGCCGACGGAAAATTAGGCATTTTCTGCAAATTTGCACACACCTTTTGTCATTCTTTTATTACAATAATAATAATAGTAAAAACTGATAACATGCGCTCCTCACATTCACCTTTTTTTTCTTGCTCGGTTATCCTTTTCTTTCACCACTTTTGAATCACACAATTTCACCACCTTCACTCTCACTGCATGTCCTCTACAGCTCCTCCAGGCATCTCGTGTTGGTGAGCATTATTCTGGTGAGGCGCCACACTTGCTTCGACGCATTCTCGAGGGCGCCCGGCGACTTTCCCTTGAACAAGTCCATGTTGGGCAGGAAGTAGTGCGGACATCGGCGGCACTGCAGGCAGGAGATCAACTGCAGGAAGATCCCGTTGATCCTGTCCGCCAGGGCGTTCTCCTCCCACTCAATTTCCCGCGGATGCTTTTCGCACTCGTACAGCAAAAGCGTCTTCATGTGATAAGAAGTCACGGGATTTCCCGGCAAGTCCAAGTGTCGGTCTCGGAGTGTCTTGAGGATGCTGAGACAGCGTCTTCTGCAGCTTCCTGGAAAGATTAATTTCACAGTATCGAGATTAGATTTTGCCTCAATTTCACACTTTTTTGACTTAATTCTAACTTATATCGTAAACTATAATTTTGTGCTTGAAAGTGCTTTTCCAATCAAGAACTTCATTCATTTCAAGAATTTATTTTCTTAGACTAAATAATCTAGTAACTTCAAGCAAAACGCCACTTTTCCATCACTTCCGACCATAATATCTCCCCCTTGGATTTTGCAATACGAAAAATTTGCACAAATTTCCACTCTATTCTTAACCCTTTCGCGGCGATAAATCACACAGTTTTGCGGTCTCAATGCAGCGTATTTTCACACCAAATTTACATTAACACCCAAAATTTCTCTATTCATCATTTTTTCCGCCAAATCCCATGAATATCAAATTCGCGGCTCGTGAAATCGCCGCGAGATTAACCGTTTAGGCAAACCGTTTGGCCGAATGACTAATGCTCGGTGGATGCAAAGCAGTGACTGGAATTATGCATAGAATGCCTGGAAATCCGCCCGATCCTCACCTTGAAGCAGTCTGTTTTCGGCGTCCGTGAAGCTCAGCACCCAGGCGTCGCCCTCCATGGCGGAGTTCTTGCCCTGCAGCGCGATGCACTCCTTGGAGAGCATGTCGAAGCCCTCCGTCTTCACCTCGGCCACGATGTTGGGATGTGGCCAGGGAATGCCGGGCAGTGGCCAGTGCGAGGCGGATCTGGGCCAGAGGCCGGCGCACTTGAACGCCGGCGTGATTTGCACGATAATCCGCTCCCTGATCCGAAGTTTGACTTCGGTGGTGTCAGCGATCATCTTGACGATGTCCCGATAAGCGCATTTATCGCATGCCTGAGCCACGAGTGTCTGGAAGCGAGAGCGAATCTTGCGTGCAGACAAATAGCCCGAAGCTGTGATAAATTCCACCCAGAGTGACATGGATCGCTTGCGGCCGTCGCTCAGCTTGAGCACGGCGCATCCCGGAAGTGTGCCATCGTCCACGAAGTTCAGGACGCCCATCTGATTCAGGTAGATGATGATCTCGAACTCCGTCGGCGAGATGACCTCCAGGCCGTCGTAGCGGCCGTTGTAGTCATTGAGTGAGGAGATGAAGCGCGGCTCCTGCACCTCCACCTCCTTCAGCACGTCCTGGACTATCCGGCACACCTCCTGGATGGTCTTGTGGATCTGTGCCTTGCGCACCTGCACACGATCCGTACAGTACTTGTTCATCTGGTACACCATCTTTGACTGCGCGGCAATCATATCGGATGGCACTAGCATGATCAGCACGGTTTATTTGCACAGATATTTGGTATGTTCACTGCATCCTCATCACCGCACTCCGTCAGTCTCTTCGCAAGTCGCTCTTCTGCGCTGTCTCGAGCACTACTGGCCCAGCTGTCTGGCGGATCATCGCGTGAGACTGCCGACTGTTGCCGTCTCACGTTGGCGTTGTCGTGGAAACGAGACTCTCGAGCCGGTTCTCCGCTTCTTCCTGCAGCCCTGGCGCGGCCGATGGTACCCTGTCACCAGGCTCCGCCCCTCCGGGCGAGAGCGAGAGCACCGGAGAGCGCGCGTCTGGGCATTTGCATACCGGAACAGAAGCACGGCGGGCGCAAGAGAGGGCGCATTAATACAATAGTCAACAGCCATATCAAGTCGCCAACAAGGAAGGGAAGATAAGATCTTCGGGCCGGCCTTCCAGCCATCGATTTTCCACCATCCGCGCACTATTTCTTCGCCGAACAATGGCATCTTTTTCGGCAGGATCAGCAACACAATGATTAATAGAGGTGGAATTGAAACAGAAGAATTTTCCCATTGTTCTGCACAAGGAGGAGATAATTTCGTTAACACACTTTTAGACACTTTTAAACCTACTAACACTTCTTTAGGCTACTTTTTAAGTCTTAAATCTATCTGAGAGATTTTCAAAGGACTTTTAAAGTGTTTCTTAACATCAGAGATCTAGAAAAACGATCTTTATCTCATGAAAATGCTTAATTTTGTCAAAAAATTGAAATTATTTTGACTTTAATATAAGAATTGAGGTTATGGAGTTCCTGAGTCTCTTAAAAATCAATAACATAACCTCTAAAAATACATTTTTATAATTATTTCAGATTTGAAATTAAAATAATTTGAAAATTTAGTGTTAAAGGAGAGAATCTTTTGAGAAAGCTACACTGAAAATGTAAATCTGCCAAACTATCTCCCCCTTGTATTAAGAGAATGTCTTCTTGAATTAATTAGCAGTTGAAGGGTTAACTATTTCAAATTTATTGTGTTGTATTGAAATAAATCCACTCAAGGGGTAAAAACTCGACTCTTTTCCATGTAAAACAGAAGAATTTCAACATCCGTATAAGAAGTTAATTATTATATTTCCTACTCATGAATCGAAATGGTTCCAACTCTCCTGTTGGCAGTTAGATTAATAGTGCTACTTCTTTTCTTGTCGTTTTTTTTTCCTCAACATGTTCCTCTTGATAAAATTCACATAAAATCATGGTGTTACTTTTTCTCTTCTCACAGAAAACCACCTCATAATCTTAATGTGCGCCATTTGTGTAGTATATTGGTCAATGTCGCGTTTAGAGACACCATTTCAGTTAGATAACACCTTTCTCTGGAGACTCTCCAGAGTTTGCCACACGTTCTCATGTTAAACACGAGATAAAATTCAGATATTCTATGGTTTTAGAGGTGAGGAAGTGAATTTATTGAAATTTTATTGCCTCCGAATGTGACATGATCATTTATTCTGGCTCTTTATTAAGGAGTCGAAGTTGTTTCGCACCCGACTAAGATTGCGGAACTTAGCTGAGAATCTCAATTAGACATGGGAGGAATTGAAATTGAATGTTTTCAAATCTCTCACATTCCTCCAATCATCAGCCTGAGAATTCGTCTTTTGACGGAGTTTTCCTATCATTTTGCATTGGAAATAATTAATTGCCATGATGAGTACGTTAATCTCGCGAGTGGCTTAGTTTTAGAGGAAATTCACGCCTTCATTAAATTGTAACACTTCAACAAATGCGTGTTATTAAAAGACACGTCCATCCATTAGCGCCTTTGTCAACAAATCGTCCGTTGACTAATAAAAAAAAAAGGTTCCGTCTGAAGGCTCGAAATAAAATTGTCAACCAAATGCTATTTCAATGGATTTCACTAAATTATTTAACGTTTCTCATTCTCTCATTTTAATTTGATGAGTGTGTGTGGCTGTTGGATAACAAGAGTGTCTCTCTCCTCGCGGGTCTATTTCTCCGATGTCATTTTTTTATTTAAAGTTTCTCAGTGTTTTCCCTCACCATTTCCCTTCGTCTTTTTTTGTCCGCCGCCTTACAATATCGCCTCGAATGTGCATTGACAAATGCGAGAGTCAAGTTTGGCGACATTTCTCGTACATCAACAGAATCCACTCGCGTGTTGGGTCGACCGAATGTGCACTCTATCACCGCGATAAGAGTGGCTAATTTCTACTAGAAAAGTCACTTTGCGCTCCACAACCCAGCGAAGATGTTCAACCATGCAACAAGACAAGGCATCAGGTTTTATTAATGATCATGTGATTATATTGTCTCTCGAGGAGTCAATTTGGAATCAATTTCTTTCGTGTGTCTCTCGGGTAAAAGTTTGTCTTATGACTTATGGAATGGGGAATTAAAACAACACAGCGAGACAGGACTCAACGGGGTGTAGGCGTCAAACTGGCCAGAGCTCCGTTTTCAATATGTGTTATGGTAAATATTGTCTTCCACGAGCCGAAGAGGAGAACATTTTTCAATTTAGGGGGTGATCTTGTGACTATTATTCGTCCGAAATCCGCTTGCGAAGCACCGCAAAGGGGTGGGAAAATGCACACGAGGTGGAAAAAATGGAAACAAATTACATAGACTGTTTTATTTTATGCTTCCGCACCGGCAAGATGTAGTGGATTGCCTTTTCCGACCGCACACGCACCCTCCATAAATCTCCCAACATAGAAGATGCGAGCGTTATAGATTAGAGATTGTGATTTTAGTCATCTATAATGATTGGATTTCACTTCTCTTGCAGATAATTTTCACCACAGATGTTTTTCACATTAACAATAAATATTTTAGTTAATCAAATATCTATTTATTGCGGCATTTCTTTAACAATTCAAAAATTTCACTTCTTTTGAGTGTAGGAAAATGTTTCAAAGATGGAATATGAGCTTTTAAATAGATCTACAAATTTGAAAAACACTGAAAATTACTCAAAAATATGGTAATTAGAGCCAGAAACCATATTTGCAGGTGAGAAAATTACTAGACAAGAGCTTAAGACCAAGAAATATTGCTGAAATATTCAATCTTGAAAGTATTTCGCTTGCTTAAGCTCTAGTTTGGGTGTTCCTGCCTTAATTTCGCCTCAAAAAATCAGGAAAATCCGCATCCCTCATCTACTTCTTTCAATCCTGGCCATTCTGATGTCTCTTTAGCAGGGCGGCGAGGTGGAATTGTCCCTAATGCTGAGGGTGAAGTTGGTCTGTTGCTCGATCTCTTGCAGCGCAGAAAGAGTAATTTCGAAGATTACATATAATTTTCTTCCAGCGAAGTGCACAATTCACCCCCTCGCATGTGATGAGTCTTGATGTGGTAATCAAATTTGGATTAAATGGATGCTCTCATCTCTCTCCAACTGCTTCAACCCTCCGCGAGGGTGACGCTGCTGGTGTGTCTGGTGGGCTTCGGGGAATCCAATACATAAATTTAATCCACCAGAGCGAGGGCTGATGATGCTGAGTTCACTGGAGAGCAAGATCAAAATGTAATTGGAATAAAAACACATAAATTGATGACTGCGCCCCTGATTGAAATGGCAAAATGCGAGGGGATGGCGCTGGAGGATTTACTCTGATCCTGCGCCACCATTTATCAGGCCGATATTTATAGGCTGGGAGTGCATCATGTTTGGAGGAGCGCTGTGTTGTCTCGGACGAAGAAGAATATTAAACACAGTATCCGTTTCATGTTCGCCCAAGGATGGGAAGCGGAGTATTTGTGATACAACGAAGGAAATGTGTTCATATTCCCTTTGGGAAATTACACAGAGTGCATCTTCAGTTTCACTCAAAAGTGTTTCTCATAAAATTTACTCTTCCTTGGGCATTTATCACATTTTTTCTCCGCCACTCACTTTATGTCTTTCCGATAACAGCAGCAGCTGTTAATGGCAATCAGAAAGGAACAGATTTGAGTTCATTTGAGGGAAAGTGCTTTTAATGTTTTCCTCCAAATCCTAATACACTCTCTCTCTCTCTCTGGGCTTTGTTTCACAATTGAATGATATGAAAACATGTCATCACGGCGGCACAAAAAGACAATTTGAAGGATTGTAAATGTGGGGTGAATGTAATATGACACAATTGTGATGCATTTCCTTCACCCCGACGATGCTCAACCTAATTTGCACCACTCATCTTCAACAGCGACTGGGAGAATGGGTGATTTGCCGAGGGGTGAAATCCTGCTGAGTTATTATTCAGTCCAGCTGAGAGTGCTTTTCACAATCTCATTGTCGCATTGAAGTGGTTTTTGGCCAAAGTGCATTTGAGAGTCTCTCTTATGGTTATTCACGAATGACTGTCGCCTAAACAGGTGAATAAAGGGACACTTTATCTAGCTATATCTCTGAATCACTAAACAGTGAATTTAATCTAAGAATGGCAAAGTGCGACCCTAGCGCTGAAATGGGTTTTTATTGTTTGTGAAATACAAAACGGCTGTCGTTTATTTCAATTTGTGTCAATTAAGTGTAAAATATGATGCCGTTTTGGGGTGGAAAATGAAATAAATTATGCAAAAGTTTGCTTTCCGGTTGCAATAATTCCACGCTCGCTGGCTCAAATCATTTTGTGAAGTGAATTGAGCAAGGAGTCGAAGGAGAGCTCTCGAGAAGGATATCCATTAATGCTCAAGAGGGATGGTGTTTAAGGCGCACTTATGTCACCGCAGAAAAGACATGCCGATGTTTGTGAGGCAGATGTTTGGTCTTGTGCCCCATAAATTGGCCAACTTTGGCCTCAAGGAGTGCGATAACATCCATTCATTGACGCAACAGGACCGAAATTTGGCTGACAATCCGAAGAACTGGCAATAATTGCAGGATAAACAAACTGGGCAGAAACTGGTACTACTCGTTTAGTGGCACTGCAATTGGAGGCAAAGAAAAAAAGACTCTCCAGTCGCGATGAGGCGAGAGATTAAGAAGTGAAGAACAAGTGTGTTCCGTGTAAGAGACCAATATTGAAATACAAAGTCGTCTCTCATGCAAAGCCTCTAAGAATTCCCATATTGCGGTGAAATATCACGC